CAGCCAGTACCAACCCTGAAGATGAAGATGGGTCTTAAGCCTTTTCCAGCCTTCCTGCTAGGGATGAAGAGAGAAAAGCAAAGGGACTGCCACTTTTTTCCCCACTAACTGTTTGTGACTCAGCTGTTTCTTCTTTTTTTTTTTTTTTTTTTGCTGACCCCTCAGTGAATTGGGAAGGTAGATAACCTGCTTCAGCTGTGTGCACTCTGCTCTCCCCTGTCTCTTGCTTTGTGTGACCTGTGCATGTAACTCAGACCTCAGACACTTTCCGTGATGGTTCCTGTAAATGGAGCTGCGCTGCTATTTGCCTCTTCTCTCAGAACCAAGCCAAGAGCTATCACTTCACTGTCACCTTTAAGCTGTCTTTCTAGAACATGAATCTAGCTAACAAAATGGATGAGCCTCAGCTAGGGGAGATACCCTAGTGAGAATATCATCTATGTAGGCCTCTGAAGAGTCAGCAGTACTGCCCCAGAGTTTGTATACTGCGAGTCCTCTCACCTGTAAATGTGTTACCTTTTTGAGTTACAGAAGCAGGATGGATGTGGTTTCTTTCTGGGTGGTTCTCTAGCAGGCAAGAGGTTGGAGGTGTCACTGTCCAGAGGTATTTAGCAGAGGTGACCAGCAGGAGCAGTTGCTGCCAGTTGTGTTTTGGCTTCTGGCACGTGGCAATGCCAAGCCCTGAGCAATGCTGCCTGATGCCTGGACTAGTGCTGGGCAACGGGGCTTTCCCAGCAGCGTTCCAAAGAAACCAAGGAACTAGTCCGCTAACGCTGGGCAACAGATCAGGAAAGACTAACTCCTGCTATAAAGCACAAACTACACCGTTTTATGTCAAGTAAACAGCTGGTCAGCCTGGGGCAAGTCTGCTTCCCCTCTGTGCAGGTAGTGGTGGCTCCTAGGACAGCTGGAGCTGCCTGTGTTGCATAGGCTCTCTCCGCACTCTCATGTGGTTACCCTGTTTCTCATAGCAGTTGAGGCAACCTAGAAATTGCCATACTACATTGCAGCACCTCTTCTGTACTGCTGCCTCTCCTGTTGCTACCTAATTCTCATTTTCTGATCCCTCTCAGTAGCTGAAGGGAGTTCTTAGCTAACTTTAGGACCTGTCCTGGAGGACATCTTCCTTGCTGCTAGAACCCAGTACAAGCTGAGTGTTGTCAGGCTAGGCTCGTGCACCTAAATGCACAGATGAGATTTTTTTGTGTGAAGCGAGAGATTAACTTTTGTGGCATGGTATTTTGGTCCTCGGCAAATCAGTTCTCATGCTGGCCTGAGGACAAAGCTTCTGTCTGGTATCAAACCAGCTGCTAGCACTGTGGAAAGCAACATCTCTGAAGAGATTTCTGAAAAGGAAGACCCAAAACTTAGCATCTCCTAGGTGTGTGGCAGTGGGATAGCTTTGTGGACAGGAAAGTGTTCTCCCCTTTGAACTGCGCTGCGAGGTGACCTGGGTTAGCAGAGCTGCCCTTGCAGTACCGAGGTGCTGCTGGCAGGCAGACCCCAGCACGGTGTTCCTCTGGCTGCGACAGGAGGGTCGCACCTCTGGGGAGAGGAGGGAGAGAATTCTTTTAAACAAATGTCTTGAAATACAACCTTGGCAGTGGTGAAGCGAGGGAAGTTTGAGCCAGGAGGCCGCTGTCCCCTGAATCTCTCCCTGCCTCCCCATTTCCTGGACACCTGCACTGGCACCGTGCTCTGTAGAATAGTTTCTGCCTGAGCAGACTCTGCACTACGGGCTGCAGCTTGCACTTGTTGAACTTTGAGCACTTGTTTAACTCTGCCTTGTGTTTCAGCGGCAAACAGTCAATCGCCATTGACGACTGCACTTTCCACCAGTGCGTGAGGCTCAGCAAATTTGATTCTGAGAGGAGCATCAGCTTCATTCCACCTGACGGAGAGTTTGAGCTCATGAGGTATGGTGTGGGGGTTGAACAGGCTGGTGTTGGCATCTGTGTGTGCTCCTGCATTGTGCATGTCTCCTTTCTGCGGAGCGGAATCTGTAGATTGTCCCACAGATCCTTTTACAGATGTGGTAGAAACCTAGCTGCATGGTTGTCTTTTCCTGCCTGTTAGCCTGCTGGATCTGGATTTTGTTTTAAGTTCTTAAAACTGACATCCACAAGTAGGGTCACTTGGCAGGAACCTGATACAAAACTTGGACTGAAGAAGTTATTACTGCCCTAGGGCAGCGCAGATCTGACTGCTGCTTCCTTTCTGGCTGGTACTTCTAGGTTGTTCCCTAAGCAAAGAGTCTGTCTCCTTAGGAAGGTGGTACAATTTGAGAACCTAAGGGAAGTTAACTCCTCAGAGTTTGATGTTGCTTTTGTGCCCGCAGATACCGAACCACTAAGGACATCATCCTTCCCTTCCGGGTGATACCCCTGGTGCGGGAGGTGGGCCGGACCAAGCTGGAGGTGAAGGTGGTGATAAAATCAAATTTCAAGCCTTCCTTGCTGGCTCAGAAGATAGAGGTAAGCTGTGGCATATTATCTCTCTACTTATGTCCCCTGCTGTGCTGTCCTTGCGGACGAGTCCTCAAGCTTGTACAGGCCCAAAGTGAACTGAATGCCTCGCAGATGTGGTGTTGCTGCCCTGTAGAAGGGAAATACCATGCAGGGGGAAAGTGGAAGCTATTTTCAGTTGCACGGTCACCCTTGGCAGATTCTGAAACACCACTGTGGATTCTGAAAATGTTTGAGTCTTTACTTCAAAGCAAGAAATTAGAGTTAGACAAGATGCCTCATGGTAGCTGCTGATTTCTGGGGCCCTGATATGGAGACAGAAGGGCAGCTGCTGTCCCAGACCCCTAGCCTGACAAAGGAGGAGGCAGTTTTCCTGTGAGATGGCACAGAGTGCCCTGGCTGCGATCTCAGTTTCCCTTACCATGTTCTGCCTTCCAGGTCCGGATCCCAACACCCCTCAACACCAGTGGAGTGCAAGTCATCTGCATGAAAGGGAAGGCGAAGTACAAGGCCAGTGAGAATGCCATTGTGTGGAAGTAAGTGAGCGTGCTGGGGGCAGGGTCTGGGGAGGCAGGAGTGTTCAGTGCTCCTGGCTGCACCATGTACCTGTAGAGGAGGGGAGATTAAACTTGGGCACCTCCTCACTTCTGGGTTTCCTCTGGTAGGATAAAACGTATGGCTGGAATGAAGGAATCCCAGATCAGTGCAGAGATCGAGCTGCTGCCCACTAATGACAAGAAGAAGTGGGCTCGGCCCCCAATCTCCATGAACTTTGAGGTGAGTCTCTGCCTGCCTCCTGGGGGCAGCTAACCTTAGAGAAGCTCTGTCAGGCCAGTCCCTTCTGGGGACCTCATGGGAACTGCATGGTTACAAGTGTTCTCTGTCCCATGCTGCTGTGTGGTTCTGCCTTATATAAGCCAGCCAGGTAGCAAAGCTAATGGGGGGGGAAAAAAATCACCTTTAAAGCCCCTGGAGTCTGTCACCAAGCATGGTGACAAGGGGAGGGGAATGGTGGCTCCTGGTGTCTGTTTTGGGCTGTTGGGTACGGAGTGCATCTTAACCCTCTGTTCCAATGTTCTCCGCTGCCTTTCCCTTTCCCAACAGGTCCCGTTTGCACCCTCTGGGCTGAAGGTGCGTTACCTGAAAGTCTTTGAGCCAAAGCTGAACTACAGTGACCACGATGTGATCAAATGGGTGAGGTACATCGGCAGGAGTGGGATCTACGAGACCAGATGCTAGCCCCAAGGGGCTGGCAGGCTCCCTCTTCTCCAAGCCATCCTCCGCGTCTCCTCAGTCTTCAAGTACATTCAGAGAACATCGGCCTGGCCCCTCTACGCAGATCGAAAGCCCCTGGGGCTCACCTTGGGAGCGGACTTGCCTGCCCATGCTTGGTTTCCACCCGCGCCGCAGCTGAAGTTCAGAACCCGGTCTCGTGCAGGGCTGCGGCCAGCCTCCCGCTCCCCGTCCCAGGGTGGGGAAGGGCTAGTCTAACTCCCCTCCTCTCGTGATCTTTCTAGGGAACGTCCACCATTAAACTTCTCTTCTGTTGGTGTCTCACTACTTGCATCATATCCTAGTATTTTTGAAGTTCTTGTGCATATGTACTCGTAGAATAGACCTAAACATAGACTGGACAAATCTTGAGTTGAAGTTACCCTGGCTTCTGTACTAGCTATTGCTGTTGTGGTAGATGTTGCTGGCCAGTCTGAGATGCCTGAGGTGGTGAGTTTTTGTTGGGCTTCCACCCGAGGAGATGGTGGGCTCGCCGCATCTCACCACCTTCCTCCTTCTTGCAAAGTCTTCAGTATCGAGTCCTGCTGTGGGAAGGTTTGTGACCAAAACACGAGGAGGGTTTAGACTCTTGCTGGTGTGTACGTGGGTGGCACAGCATTTCGGGTCCTGAGAGCACTTACCCTCCACCTGCTGCTGGCTCAAGCCAGTCTTTCCTTTCCAAACAAATCGGAAATTTGTTGGAAATTTCCTTTCCAAATGAATTGGATCTGTCCCGGGCGCCTTTCCAAATCTCTCAGAGCCCTGGGGAGCGTGGCTCAGCTGAGCTCTGCCAGGATGCAACCGGGGGCTGCCCTCTGGGACCGAAAATCGCACTCGCCAGTAAGCCCCTTGCCCCAGCCCACCCTCTCCGCACTTCTACCGACCGCTTCTGGGCCATAGGAATGCTGCTGCCGCCCACCGTCCCGCTTCTGGTAGTGTGGTCTCCATTTTGTACACCCTGTGATTTGTCCAGCGCTCAACCTAATAAACGATGTAGAACGGAGCCGGCTCTGTGTGCTGCTGGGGGGGCTCTGGGGAACACGGGGGGGGAGGAGGAGGAGTGATGGGGACGGGCTGAACCCACCCTAAATGCCCCCTGTCCCTGGGACCATTTTAAAGGGGGATCCCCCGCGCCCCCTTCATCCCCCATTCAATTTATAGGGCGCCCAGCAGCGATGCCTCTCCCCGCACTGCGCACGCGCGGCCCTCTCCAGGACTACATTTCCCAGCATCCCCCGCTCCCCACCCCCCCTCCCTCTTCCCGGCAGCCCCCGCGCCTCCTTCCGGGCGTGTGGCGGGGCCGTGAGGCGGCGGCGGCGGGGGGGGGCCGGGCCCCGCTCGGGCCATGGCGTCGTGCGCCGACATCCTCCGCAGCGAGTTCCCCGAGCTGGACGGCGAGGTCTTCGCCTACGTGACGGGTGAGGGCGGCCCCCGAGCCGTCCCGGTACGGTGGGGGGGGGGGGGAAGCGGAGGGCGGCTTTCCGTCGGCCGTGTCGCGATTGTCCCCTCTCATGTCGCGACATGAGGGAGGAAAGGGAGGGGGGGTGTGTGTGCAGCGCCGTGTGCCCGCAGGGATCCTGCACAGCAGCGGCGGGGACTTCGAGTCGGTGGACGAGCTGGTGGAGGCGGTGGGCGAGCTGCTGCAGGAGGTGGCGCCGGCCGGCAAGGACGAGGGCGCCGTGCGGGAGGTGTGCCAGCGGCTCTTCAACGCCCTGCAGCTGTGAGCGGCCTTCCTCCTCCCCACCATCATCATCCTCCTCCTCCTCCTCATCCCCCTCATCCCCTCCTCACTCCTCTTCCTCGCCCGCAGGGATGAGGGCCGGGCGCAGCGCTGCAGCCAGGTGCTGCTGGATGCCCCCATCCAGCTCTCGCAGATCACGGATGGATACGGTGAGTGCTGCTCGGAGGGCTCACGGCATCCCCAGGGAGCTGTCACCCTTCCCCAGCTCCCCCTCGCCTCACCCAGCGTCTCCCCGCAGATTCCAACGCGGACCTGCTGCCGGGGCTGCTGCTGAAGAGAGGCCAGGCGTCGGTAAGCACAGCGCTGCGTCCTTCTCGTAACCCGCCGGGAAGAACTCACACCTGGGGCTGTAGGGTCATGCTCTGCCCCGTCACCTCGCCCTCTGTGAGCAGCCGGGGCGGGGGTTGTGCTGAGGTGTGCAGTTGTAGGGCTGCTGCTCCCTCTGTGAGTTGTGATGCTCTCGGTCAGGTAAAGAGGCTCGGTGGGAGTTAGCAGCTCGTTAATCTGACCAGATTTATTTTGCTGTTGTTTCTTAATGAGCTTCAAAGCGTGGTTGTGTCACTGAGAGCACGGCTTGCCTGACTTCATGAGGGACTTTGGTTTCTACAGCAAGGCTCTGGGTTGTGAAATCGGGGTGTAGGGGGTGACCTTGCTGCATGTGCTGAGGGAAGAAGCCCTGAGATGCGATCAGGGCTCAGGGAGTTCGCACGGAGCTGCTGTTTCCAGAGGGCTGTGGGGAGGTTGTCAGCCCAGCTCTAAAAGCTGCTGGGGGTTGTGATTTGGGAAGATGGGGAGCAGAAAAGTTTGGAAGTCGTTACACTCTGTGGCGTGCAGGAAATCAGAATGCCCTTGCCAAAAAAGCGTGTAGCAGCTCAGGAGCGGCCCGGGGTGCCCTCTGTGCTGGCTGTGCCGAGGTCTGGGCACGAGGAGGATCTACAAAGCCAGGACATTGGCAGCTGCACGGAGCAGGCAGCGTCTCTGCTGGGTGCTCTGCTGCAGAGCTCTCCTCCCAGGGCTTCACATCGTGCACAGAACTGCGTGCCCGGAGCTGAGACCCAAGGCGATCCCCACGTGGCTGAGGGGGGCAGCTGGCAGCTGCTGCTGGGTTTAGCGCTGGGGCTGTTGCTCCTTGGTTTGTCGTCTGGCTCGCGCGGCCGCAGCTCAGGAAGGATTTTCAGAAAAACTGGAAAAGGTTCAGATCCCTCGAGTTTTGGAGGATGGCTTACTGGGAGACTGAGGGAGCTCAGTGTCGTTTATGGGGTGACTTCACCTACCTGTAGGAACCGGGCTGCAGAGCTGGCTGGAGATGCCTGGGAGGGCCTTTGGTCAGCCACAAGCATTTGACTCGATGCAGGAATAAACTGGAGCGGGCTGGGAGCCTGGCAAAGGCCAGAGGCCGTGTTAAAACGCTTGGCTTCTTTTTGCCTTCAGATTTAATTAAACGCTCTCTGGCTCTGTCTTGATTGATCTGCTGCGTAACCTGAGTTAGTTCCAGGCTGGCTAAAGTTTAACAGGCCGGGGAGGGGCAGTGCCTGATGGTAGGGGCTGCGGGGGAGGCGCTGGGACAGCAGGTCCGTGTTGAGGTGCCTGGGCTGACCCAGAGAACCAGAGAAACTGCCCGTGGGAAAGAGCGTTCGGGTTAGGGTCAGCCAAACCCCGTGCTCGCTGAGGCAGAACTGCTGCATGATTTAGGACTTCAGTCCTGAAGTGACTTCCTGGCCTGATTAGCTTCCTCAAAACGTGCTGGAGTCTGTCCCGGTTCCCCTGTCCTGTCTCCCTCCTGCTCTCCTTTCCGCCCGGGCAGGTGGGGCTGGCTGAGCTCCTTTCTCTCGGAGTTGGGGTTTGGGGGCTTTTGCTGAAGATGCTCTCTCTGTAAACTCTGCTTGTGCCCCAGATGGTGGATGCCAAGAAACTGGAGAAGGCAGAAGCCAGGCTGAAAGCCAAGCAGGACCGGAGGATGGAGAAGGATTCCACCAAGTCATCTGGCCCTCTGTGAGTACGGAGGGTGCCTCCAGCACCCCGCCTGCTCTGCCGAGCGTGGCTGAGATCGGTTTGGGCTCAACTTTCCTGCTGAGCCCCCTTCTCTGTCTTCCACCTGCCTGCAGGGTCCTCGAGGAGGCAACTGCCAGCCAGGCTGCCAGCAAGAAGGAGACTCGCATGGAATCCTCAGGCAAGAACAAATCATACGACGTCCGCATCGAGAACTTCGACGTCTCCTTCGGTGAGCGGTGAGTGCAGAGGGGACGGTGGGACGGGCCCTGCTGGGGCTGTAGGACATGCTGAGGTCTGGATTGGAGAACTCCGTGGTGGTTGCATGGCCTCAGCACAGCCTGGAAAGGTGCTGGGGGGAGGTGGCTGTTGGTTTCCGCTCTCCCCATGGGGCGGGATGAGCAGGGAGCTGTTTTTTCCCTCCCTGCAGTGTCTTGCTGGCAGGAGCAGACCTGAACCTGGCATTTGGCCGGCGCTATGGGCTGGTGGGCAGGAACGGGCTGGGGAAGACCACACTGCTGAAGATGATCGCCAGTCGGAGCCTGCGCATCCCCTCGCACATAAGCATCCTCCACGTGGAGCAGGAGGTGGCGGGGGACGAGACACCGGCCCTGCAGAGCGTGCTGGAGTGCGACACCACTCGGGAGAGCCTGCTGCGGGAGGAAAAGGAGCTGACGGCCAAGGTTAACGCTGGCAGGTGAGATATTGCTGGATTTCCAGCCCTTCTACAGCCTCTCGACCACGAAGTCTCGTTCTGAGATCTCTCCCTTCCAGTGGAGGACTCCAGCAGGGCTCGCTTTAGTCCTGCCTGGGGAGATCAGCCTTCCGCAGCGCTCAGCCCCTGACCCCAGTCCATCCCACGTGTTCCTCTTTGCTCTGCTCCAGGGGAGAAGGGACGGAAGGCGCCAGGCTGTCAGAGATCTACGCGAAGCTGGAGGAGATTGAGGCAGACAAGGCCCCAGCGAGGTGAGATGACCCTGCAGGCACTGCTTGCTGTCTGCTGGCATGGTGAGATGCGGTTTGCAGCTTGGAAGGGTGATGCTGTGCCCCTGGGATCCAGCATGCGGGGACAGGGGCTCTTCTGGGTTAGAAGTACTCGTGCTTCCACTAGAAGCTGGAGGTGCTTTTGCCCCAAATGGCTTGCGTTGTTGCTGCTGCTCCTCCCCAGGTTCCTGGTGGCTGGGGAAAATTTCTGGGATGGTGGTGGCAGGAACCTCTTGGCCAAAGAGCTGAAAGCTTCTTGGGAATTCACGTGGGTGCTGTGCCTTGCTGGGCTGCATTTCCCAGCCAAACACTGCTCTTGGGCACAAAGGGGAGTTTTTGTGCACCAGGATGGACTTAAACTATGTAGCAGAGTGGGTCAGGACCTGAGGCTGTGCTCTGTAGGTGCACGGTGTGCCACCTTCCTGTTCTCTCACCTTTCCCCCAGGGCATCTGTCATCCTGGCTGGGCTGGGCTTCAACGCCAAGATGCAACAACAGACAACCAAGTAAGTGCCCAGGCTTTGGACAGCAGAGACTTAAATTAAATGGGTTTGGGGAGAACTCGTGCTGGGCCTGCAGGGACGAGCTGTCCGTGGGTGACAGCAGAGAGAAAAGGGCAGTGGGGAGCAGGGGGCCAGGCAGGCGGGGTTGTTGTGATTAAATTCTAACCCCTGGGTACAACCTTTTCTCTCCTCAGAGAGTTTTCTGGAGGCTGGAGGATGAGACTGGCCTTAGCCAGAGCCCTGTTTGCCAGGTTGGTGGCCAGTTGTTAGCCCTCCTTGCTGTCCGTGCTGCAGAGGGCAGGGGGGCTGCCTTGCCTGGCTGTTCTCTCGACTCAGCCTCTCGGGGTGGGAGGTTTTCGAGGCATCAGGGCTCTGTATGCACAGTAAAACGTGCTTTACGTTGACCCTGTGCTCTTTCTGCTCCTGATGCTTCTCTTGTTTTCCCTAGGCCAGATCTCCTTCTACTGGACGGTAAGTTGATCCCATGAGCCCTTCTACCCCTGCCGCCGGGCCTGCCCATGCCCTTGCTGGGTTGGGAACGCAGCGTGGCCTTTAGCTGCCTGCTCAAAATAGCCCTGCATGACAGGGCCGGTGCTCGCAGGGCTGTCACTGCGCCCTGGGGATGGCGTGGAGCCATCTGCAGCCAGGAAACCTGCTCGGGCAGCCCCTCTGGCTGCCCACTAGCCTCTCCTATGTAAAAAAGACGTAACCCAGTCCTCCCAACCCCTCCTAACCTCAGCGCCTCTCTCTTCCCTCAGAGCCCACCAACATGCTGGACGTGAGGGCCATTCTGTGGCTGGAGAACTACCTGCAGGTACGGGGCGGTGCGGGGCAGCGCAAGCCTTGGCCACGGCTCCTGTGCGGTGCAGGGGCTCCGGCCCCATGCTGGGCTCAGCAGCCAGGGGACAGGGACAGCCTCGCGGGCTGCGTGGTGGCACCAGGCCCCGTGCTGCGGCTCGATGATGCTCAAGCTCCCTCGGGTCTCCCTCTCGCTGTCTCCTCCAGACCTGGCAGTCCACCATCCTCGTGGTGTCCCACGACAGGAATTTCCTCAATGCGGTGGCCACGGACATCATCCACCTGCACTCGCTGCGGCTGGACGCCTACCGGGGGGACTTTGAGAACTTCATGAAGACCAAGGAGGAGCGACTGAAGAACCAGCAGCGGGAGTACGAAGCGCAGCAGCAGTACCGCGAGCATATCCAGGTACTGGGGGACACCCGTAGGGTTTGGACACTCTTCTTCCAGCCTTGCCCCTTTCTCCCTGCTTCGAGCGAGCCTCCCAGGCTGCCCTGCTTCCAGTAATTTCTGCTCTTGGAGTTTTCATTGCTGTTCAGTCTTGCAGTGACCTGTGACTGAACGAGCCCGGGGGTTCTCTGATGCTTTTTTGTCACTTGTAGGTCTTCATCGACCGCTTTCGGTATAACGCGAACCGGGCGTCCCAAGTACAGAGCAAGCTCAAGCTGTTGGAGAAGCTGTGAGTGCCTGTTCTGCTCCTCTCTGGAGGTTTGGGGGTGTGTTAGGTGTTGATGGGAAGAACTGGATGTTCCCAGGTGGTCCCCAGGACCCTGTAAGGCGCTGTGTATCTGGAGGGATGGGTGTGGCTTGGATTTCGGGTGCTCTCTCTCTGGTCCAGAGGCTTTGCCGAGGATGAGGCTTCACAGAGCTGGGCTGCTGGTGTGGGGACAGTGCAAGGCTCCAATTACACCTCTTCCCTCTTGCAGGCCGGAGCTGAAACCTGTGGACAAGGAGTCTGAGGTGATGATGAAGTAAGTGTCCCTTTGCTTGGAAGGGACCCAGCTCCCTTTTCGCCCTGAGCTCCTCCTGGGATAACCACTGCTCCTCCTCCAGCATGGGGTCTGGATGGGTCCCCACGCTCAGGCTGGGCTCCCTCTGGGGCCAAGGCTGCATCCCCTCCTCATTACCGTCCCTCCCAGAGGCCCTGCATGCTCGGGAGCCCCCTTTGCCACCTGCAGTGGTTGTCCCAGGGGGGCTGGGAGCAGGGTCTCTGAAGTACCTGGCCAGCTCTCACCTCTTCCTGCCTTCCCAGGTTCCCCGATGGCTTTGAGAAGTTCTCCCCCCCCATCCTGCAGCTAGATGAAGTAGATTTCTGTTATGACCCGAGTCACTACATCTTCCGTTCCCTCTCTGTCTCTGCTGACCTGGAGTCCCGCATCTGTGTGGTAGGTTTGGGACTGCAGGGGAAGGGTGGCTGCGAGGCGCCTTGGCTGTCCCCACTCGAAGCAGAGCCAGCTTCCATGTCAGATCAGGCTGCTCAGGTCCTTGTCCAGTTGAATTCTGGATGAAATATTCCTCCCTGGGGACATCCAGATGAGGCTGGGACCAATTAATCCTTGGGCTCGAGAACTGGGGAGGGAACATGCTCCAGCAGTGCTGTGTGTGCAGCTCCTCAGCGATAGGAACGCAGCTTCCAGGTGGCTGGAGCCACTGGTTTGGCACTCATCCTGCCCCTTCCACTGCGTGATCATCCAGGAGAGCTGAATTCCCTGATCACTGCCCCCCTCTCCATGGTACCTTCGTGGGTTTCATGTTCTCCAATGCTGCTGCTGCTTCTCTAGGTTGGGGAGAACGGAGCTGGCAAGTCGACCATGCTAAAGATCTTAATGGGGGAGCTGGCACCAGTCAGAGGGATCAGGCATGCTCACAGGTACCTGGTAGGAAGGGGTGAGGGGCTGGGGGGAATGGTGCATTTGGAGGGCTCCGGGGCTGTGCTTTGGGGTGATGGCTGCTGCTGTGATGAGGATGGGAGCTGCACGCCCCCCTCTTGTGCCCCCTTCCTGTAGCTGCAGCTGGGAGTGCTGCGGTTACAGCGCCCGGTGCCAGTTCCCCGTCTCTCTCCTCCTTCTGCAGAAACCTTAAGATCGGCTATTTCAGCCAGCACCACGTGGATCAACTGGACTTGAACATCAGTGCTGTAGAGCTGCTGGCAAGGAAGTTCCCAGGTGGGTTTTGGAGATCTGAGGAGCTCTGGGCCACTTGAATCTCCCCTGCCACGCAGATCGATTTGTCCCTCAGACGTGGTCCCTGGGCAGAAGGCCCTGTCACCTCAGTGCTCGGGGGATGCCTTCTGCCCTGAGTTAACTGTTCACGTCGAGCATGAGTTCAGGTCACCAGCCTTGAGTAGCTGAGGTGGTTGTGCAGGGGTAGGCAGCCTGCCAGGAGCTCTGTGGCCAGCAGATCTCACACTGGTGCTCCACTTTGGCCATATTTTGGAGGTAACTGATCCCACTTTACTGTGGCTTCCCTGCCAGTCACAGGACAAGCAGCTGGCCCTCCTTTCTGCCACCTCCCAAACCTCCCAGCTCCCCTCTCCATGACGTAACATGATGTTTGCCACGAGGAGTTTGGGGCAGCGTTACTCAGAGCTGGTCACAACCGCTGGCTGCGCGGCCCCTGCCCTGCTTGTGTCAGTCAGCCTTTTCCACACAAACCCTCCGTTTGGGCACTGCCTCCGAGCAGCTGCCAAATCCCTCGGCTGCCTGGCCTTGATACAGGCCAAGGGCACTGCAGGAAGCACCAGCTGGCCCCAAGGTCCTGGGATGCTCGTGTGCCATATCTGTGTTGTGCCGTGCTCCCGCAGGGAAGACGGAGGAGGAGTACCGGCATCAGCTGGGGAGCTACGGCGTCTCGGGGGAGCTGGCCGTGCGCCCTGTGGCCAGCCTGTCTGGAGGGCAGAAGAGTCGAGTGGCCTTTGCGCAGATGACAATGTCCTGGTAATTCCCTCCCACACGTGGGAAGTTGGTGCGGGGCCGTATCCTCGGGGCCCTGCTTCACCGGGAGGAAGGGAGAGGAGATTGGGGAGGGAGATTGTCACCTGGTGGGGACCGTGGGGGAGGGGGCAGGCGGTTTTCTGCTGCTGCTTTGAGCTCGGAGGGTGTCCCTGGAGCTGAGCAGCACAGATCCTGGGGCCATGCAGTGCCTGTGGCTGTGGCTTTATGTGGTTAAAGCCATTGCCTCAACTCCTCCCTGCATGGGGGGCCCAGCAGTGCGCAGGGGCGCGGGCAGGGTGCTCAGAGCTGTCTTCTCTTCCAGTCCAAACTTCTACATCCTGGATGAGCCGACAAATCACCTGGACATGGAGACCATCGAGGCACTAGCGAAGGCGCTGAATAAGTTCCGGGTAAGGCTCGGCAGCCGAGATCTCCCATTTTTCTAACACTTCCTGCATCCTCCAGCTTGGGTGACTCAGTTTTTCAGCCAGGAGCGGACCATGAAATTCCAGTGGTGGTTTCAAGTCCAGGAGATGCGGTGGGAAGCTGGTTGCATTTCTGCCTTAGCTGTCTGTGCTGGTGGCTTGTTTCACTTGTTGACTTTGGCTGAGAGAAGCAGCAGCGAGCCAGAGCACAGCTTGTCCCCCATCTTGGCCAGCCACCTACGGGCTGTGACCGCTCCCCTGCTGCTGCGTGCAGCGCCCAGCCCTGCCTTGGGGCCTCGTGGCTGTTCCTCAGGCAGCTTTTTGTGGCTCAGAGCTGAGCCTCCAGGTAGCGCTGTAATGAACCCGGTTCTTGCTGTTCTGTACTTGCCCGCGTTAGGTCATTTTCCCTACAAGAGAAAAACGAGGTTACTCAGGGCCTTGTCCCGTCACCTTTTGGCTGTTGTTGCCTCCAACTAGAATTTCCATCCTCAAAGTTTGTCAGAGGTCCAGAGAGCCAGTGGCCAACCCCGTGCTTGCCCTCAGGGAAGGGAACCTAAGCATTTGCTGTGCACGTGCCTCCTCCGCACCAGATCTGTCCATCCCAGCTGAAGGCAGGAAAGCCCTTAGGCAAGGCCGGAATTCGTGGCTGCCTGTGAAGCACCGTGCCTCTCCCCAGTGCAGGTGGAAACCTGAAGTCCCGTTTCTGGCTGGAAGGGCACAAAGGACCACGTTGCGGGGTCCCCTGCCACCAGAGCCCTGCTTTGTGGTCCCCTCAGTTCCTTTTCTCTCCTGCGTTCGCAGGGCGGTATCATCCTGGTGTCCCACGACGAGTGCTTCATCCGCCTGGTGTGCCAGGAGCTGTGGGTGTGCGAGAACGCCACCGTCACCCGCATCGAGGGCGGCTTCGACCAGTACAGAGACATCCTGAAGGAGCAATTCCGAAAGGAGGGTTTCCTATAAGCGAGGCGGGGGGGGCCCAGCCTGCCCGAGGAGGCTTCGGGCGCTGCAGCCTCCAGCCACGCCGAGCCCGGCAGAGCGCCGAGGAGGTGGCACGGACCCCAGCCACGCCATCCAGCTGCCACCCGAACTGCTCTCTCCTCCTGGGGCGCGGGCGGCCCCCGCTCTGCCCTTCTGCCCGGCCGCCCGTGCAAGGACAGCGAGGGACCGGGAGCCGCGGGCGCTGCTCCTTGTGGGCGCTGCCTGCACCGTGCTCCAGGCCTGGGCCGTGCCTGGAGCTGCTGCTCCGCTGGGATGAGGAAAGGAGGTGTCCCCCCACCCTGGTTGTAACTCCGTGCTCGCGAGGGCAGGAGAGGAGCTGTTCTCCTTTCTTCGCTTACCCCCACTGCCTTTTTCTTTGTTCGTTTTTTTTTTTTTCTGGTTAACTGGTGCGCACTGGTCAGATTCTCACACCGTCTTTCTCTCCCCAGCTCTCCTACGCTCTCGTCCCCTCTGCTGCCCGGGCGGGAAGCGAGACCTTTGCTGCTACAACCACCCCCAGCCTCTTCCCAAACCCCTGGAAGCACCGGGGGCGAGGGTTCGCTTTGCCTGTCCCCCCCCCGTGGGGCTCGCCTGCGTGCCCCCACGGGGTGCGGGGTGCGAGCGGGCCCCTCCAGCAGGGGGGTGGCGGTGTAAATAAAAGCAGAACGCTACTCGGTGTGCCTCAATGTGTCCTTGGGGGGGTTTTTTGTTTTAGGGGTAGGGGGCTCGCTGCCAACCTCAAACCTCAAGGGGGTGGGTGGGGGCTGGGGGGGGGCACTGTGGGCTCCAGCCCCTGGATCCGGCTGTGCTCTGCGGGCAGCGGGGGCTGGAGGCGAAGTGGAGGGGACCGGAGGGGGGACCCCTGGGGGGGTTTCATCCCCCGGGGAGCTTCATCCATGGGGTTTTTGGGGGGACGGGACCGGCAGCCAGGCACCGCCTCCGCCTTCCCCGCCGCCCCCAGGTGGGCCCGCCCCTGCGGCCGGGGCGGTGCTGGCGGCCTCGCTCCGACCGGCGGCGGGCACCGAAAGGAGGAGGAGGAGGAGGAGGTGGAGGAAGAAGAAGAAGAAGAAGGAGGAGGAGGAGGAGAAGAAGGAGGGGGGGGAACCGGCCCGGTTGGGGTCCGCTGCCCGCCGGTCCAGCCTCGCCCGCGGGCGTTATGAGCACCGGCGGGGAGCGGCCGTGCCCCCGCGGCCGGCCAGGCTCGGTGGGGAGCAGCCCCGTGCCCAGCCCCGGCTCCCCGGGGCCCGAGGAGGTGAGCGGGGGGGGAACCGGCACCGGGGGGGGGAACCGGGACCGGGATCGGGACCGGCACCGGGACCGGGGGGGACCGGGGAGGGCTGGGGGGTGCTGGGGGGCGCTGCGTGGGCGCCCTCCCCGCGTGGCCCTGGGGGGTGTGTGTGGGTGTAGGGGATGTGTGGGGGTCCTGTGGGGTGTGTGGGGGCTCTGAGGGGAATTTGGGGGGGGTCTCGCCGTGCTGTAGGGCGGGGGGGGGGCTGCGCGGCGGTGCCCCAGGGTGGGGGTGACCCCGCGTGTCCGCCGCCGTGCCCGGCAGCCGTGTGGGTGTGCGGGCACTGGGGGGGGTTATGGGGTGGGTGAGGGGGTTTGGGGGGGATTTGGGGTACCGGGGAGGGGGGGAGCACAGCCCGGCTCCTTGCGGGGCGGGGGGCGGCCGGCCCGGGCAGCCCGGGAGCGCGGGCGCCATCTTGGGAGCGATCAGGTGTCGGCGGGGACCCCGGGCGGCACCGGGCGGGGAGGGGACGGGGCTGAGGGGGGGGCACCGAGGGGGAGCCCCCCACAACCCGCACCGGGCCCCAAAGAGGTCTGGGGGGGTCGGGGAGGGGGGTGCCGGGAGCCGCCGTTCCCCATCCGCAGGAGGGGTTGGGGCCACGCGAGGAGCCCCCGCCGCGCTGCCGGTACCCCCGGTGCGGGGGGAGATGTGTGGGGTTTTTTTGGGGGGGATCCCCAAAAATAGACGCCCTACAGCCCCCCGGGGGCCCACCCGGCACCGGGGGCAGCGGGGGCACCGGGCAGCCCTTCCCTGTGGGTCCCTTGGCACACCGGAGGGCGGCTCCCCGGAGTTTTATCTCCCAGACTTTGTCCCCCCCCAGGGGTCTCAGGGGGTCCCCTTTTGGGGTGCTCCCCCAGTTGCTGGCCCCAACTGGTCCCAGTCCCGTTCCCGGGGCGGGGATCCCGGGGCGTTGAGTCAACGCCGCGCTGTGGGGTTTCTGCCGGCTGTGGGTGCGCCACTGCCATAAATGAGGGTTTTAAGGAAGGGGCCGTCACCGCCGAGCTGGGGTTGGGATGGGAGGGGGTAACGGGGGGACGGGTGTTGGGGGGACCCCGGTGTTTGGTGCCGGGATGGGGCGGGGGTGTAACCACCGAGTGCCGTTTGTCGCAGCCGCTGCAGAAACGGCAGAGAACCGTGGAGGATTTCAACCAGTTCTGCACCTTCGTTTTGGCTTACGCCGGCTACATCCCTTACCCTGAGGAGGTGAGTGGGCTTGCGGGGTGATCCTCCTCCCCCCGGGTGTCCTGCCGTCACGGACCCGGCTCCTGATCCCCCGCTGTAGGTTGGGGGGGGGTCATTCTCCGTCCCCAGTCCCTTTCTCCATACCCCGAATGCCCGCGCTGTGGTGTCTCCTGCTAGCCCTGCCTCTCCCCTGCTTGCAGAACGAGCCCTGGACCCACGGCGGCAGCATGAGCCCCCAGAACAGCACGGGGAGCACGCAGGACAGCGATAGCTGGGCCTCCTTGCCCTCCTCCGACTGCCAGCTCCTGGCGGACGACAGGAGGAGCAGGACGGCCGTGGCCAAGGGGGCTGCGGACAGCAGCCTGCTCGCCGACTGCCCGGCCTTCCCCGCCGGCTTCTACGAGATCCGACCCCCGCAGAGCAAGAGGAAGAAACCTCCAGCGAAGAAACTCGTTTTGGAGCAGGAGGTGGAGAAGAAGGTGCCGCTGAGCGCTGGAAAAAGCTCGGTGCTAGACCAGGACCGGGGGAAGGAGCCGGCTGTGCTGGAGGGACAGGTGCCTCCTGTGAAAGAGGTGTTCTCGGAGCCCCCCATTGAGCCGGCCGGGGACCCCCAGCCCAGCGCCCCTCTGGAGGAGCCCCTGAAGGAGGAGAAGGACTGGCTGCACGGAGAGCAGGGGGCAGAGAAGCCCGCAGGAGACGAGCCGCAGCTAAAGGAGCACGAGCAGTGCTCTGGAGGCGCGAAGAGCCCCAGTTCTTGTAGTACCTTGGACCAAAGCGAAGGGGAAGATACAAGCAGAGGGAGCTCTCAGCTTGGTGGTGAGTGTCTGGGGAGTGGAGCTGTGCTGCGGTCAGTGCCAAATATCGTCCCTGCCTCGGCCAGAGCTTCCCACATGGGATGCGGGGAGAGCTTGCAGGTGGTCCCGGCCTCTCCTAGCGAGGGGCTTCATGGAAAGCCATAGGGACCTGGGAGAGCTGCAGAGGAGAGAGCGGAGAGCTTTGGAAGTTCTTTAGTAGAGCGAGTGGTACAGACCTGAAATGGGGAGTGGGGTGTAAGGGTGCCTTGCTGATCCTTTTTTCTTTTTTTTTCTTTTTTCTTTCCCCCCTTTGCAACTTCAGCAGTTGAATTCGCAGCGGCTCCCAACACCAAAGCAGAAGGTGAGTGGGGGCTCTCCCGCTCCACTGGCTGTGGCTTTAGAGGTGGTGCTGTGCCCTCAGAGGCTTTTCCCTGGGGGGCTGCTCAGGCTGCAGCGGGGGGGTGCTGGTGAGGTGGGTGCTGAGCGGTGTCCCTCTCTCCCCGACCAGACGACGACGCCTGGGATCTGATCACCTGCTTCTGCCTGAAGCCCTTCGCGGGGAGGCCCATGATCGAATGTAACGAGTGTGCCACCTGGATCCACCTCTCCTGTGCCAAGATCCGCAAATCCAACGTGCCTGAGGTTTTCATCTGCCAGCGATGCCGCGACGCCAAGCAGGAGATCCGCCGCTCGAACCGAGCTCGGACGGTGCCCCGCAAGCGGTTCTGTGACTGAGGCTCTTCCAGAGCAGGGAGGCTGGGGGGCCCCTTTTTAAACCGAAGGCTGTAGCTCAGTCTGGCTAGACAATCAATGCACAGTAACGGCAGGGGAAGGGCTGGGCCGCGGTGCTGGGCTGTCCCCCTTGCTCTTCTGCCTCCTGGGAGCTGCCGTCCTCCCCGGGGGTCGCGTTAACCACGGAGCTCGGTGACCCCAGGGGTGTGGGGGGAGAAGAGCCATGCACTAGGTCGCTCAGAAACATCTCTGTCCTTGCACAAACCTGGCTCAGTGCCTTTCCCCCAGGCCAGCCGAGGAGAACCTAGTCCAAATAGTTTCCCTGTGGTGTGGTGGAAGCTTACACTTATCCCGAGATGTGACTCCCCTTCCTCCTTTTTCCTCACCGTTGTCCTTGCCTTGGGCCTCGGGGTGAGCTGCGGTGGCAAAGCCCCAGTGACCCGATCCTCTTCCAGCACAGAGATGCAGCCCAGGCAGGCTTCTTCCATGCAGTGTGCCCTCTGGGATGGGAGGGAAGGAATATTGCTCCTGCCAACGCCTGAAGCAGACTGGGCTGCTCTTTCCTGGGGGTTTGGTGTCCCACCTCTGGCTCATCAGCCTTGTAGGCTGCGCAGGGGAGGCCCTGCCCCTGTCTGGTGGTGCTCCTGATTTTGGTTGCTGTGCACAAGGCCCCAAGATAGTCCGAGTAGATTGTTAGACGAGTTGTTCTTGCCGAGGAGTCCTCCTCGGTTCAGATTCTCCAGTTGCACTGAAGTCTCCTGTTCAAAAGGGATGTGGGGTTTGCGGTAGGAGACCCGAACGGTTACCCTCAAAACTGGTAGGGCTGGGGTGCCCTGGGGAAGGGGAGCAGGGGAGGTTTGGGTGGTTTCCATGTTTCCCAGTTTAAAAGAATTGAACTTTGTACCCTGTGGCCACCTCCTGCCTGCAGGTGAAGCATCGGCTTAAGCAGCAGCTGGATGCTGAGCCCTGGGTCCGATGCAGCCCAGGTGCAGGAGGGCCTTGCTTCCCTCCTGCAGAGAAATTGTTCATTTCTCTTTTTTTTTTTTATTATTATTTTCTTTCCTGGACACATAGAGTGAAGTCTGATACCTTGTCAAGGGCAGGCCCTCAGCCCCTTCTGCTATGCAACTGCTGCTCCGGAGGCACGGGGCCTGCCCGCTCCAGGCCTCCTCCAAGTTTCAGAGCGGAAGGGTTTTTTCCCCATCACCCTCCTCCCTCTGGGAGCGGTGTGTGTGCGTGCACCGACGGTCTGCTCCCACCTCCTCCTCCTCACAGCCCCTCCAAAGAGCCTGGCCCGTGTGCCTTCTGCACTTTCCAGGGGGGGACACAGACCCCGACTTGCCAGTCCCATCACTATTTCTCCTAACTGGGTTCTTTCCTACTTGCACATCTGGTTACTGTGGGACCACAGGCTGGGGGAGGGTGGGGGGCAGCCCCCCGCCACCCAGCAACCCCCCAGGCTCGTCCCTGTGCCTCTCCTCCTGTGGAAAGCCTGGGCCCCAAAAGTGCTTTATGTTTTTATAGTTACTTTGTATGGATATGTAAAATAGCAAAATTCTGGTCCTTGCCCTGTGGAGTGTGGCTGGAGTCGTCTGTATATAATAAAGTACTTTTGCCATAACGGGGGTGGCTTTGGCGTATTTCTCCCTCCCCTGGGTGAATTTTGGCGTGCTCCTACGCAAGTGGGGGAGCCCAATGGGGCTGGCATCTCCAAGCTGCCTCAGCTCACAGGCAGCTGCCCTGAGACACAAACCACAAGCTCCCAGCCCAGATAGGGAGCTGGGCACCGCTGGCCAGGGGCTGTCTGGCCAAACTCAAACACTTCCAGCTGTGACCCCCCCAACCAGGTAACCCCCCAGCTGCACAACCACCAGAGAAGATGCAATCCACCACAGGTTTTATTGAACAGAGCGAGCCATGCTGCAAAGGGGTGATGCTCACCTCCCTGCCCTGCTGCAGTGCGTGGAGCGTGGCACAGGAATCTCTTCCAGAGCCTCCCCGCTGTGGAGGTCACCTCAACAGGCATCCCCGTCCCCATCCTGCAGCCAGTGCCCCCTTTCTGAGCGCCCTGGGACGGCTCCAGGGCCAGCAGGGCTGGTGGCTCGGGAGGAACGGTGTCCCCGCTGTGACTGCTAAGGCACAACGTGATTTATCTCAAAGGCTTTGATTTGCTCTCGGGCTCTAACAAACCCTCCGTGATTCTGTTCCCATTCCAGAGAAGAATTAAGGATTAGTCCTGACAGTAGTGTAGGTGCTGAAGGATCCAGTTTTCCCCACAAAATGAGTCCATTATTCCAGTGCAGAGCGATCTGGCGTTCCCCGCAGGTGGGCTCGGTGTGTGCTGGCTGCCATTGGAGTGCTGTGGGCTTCAACTGGTGGGCAGTGAGCACAGGGCCGTGCTGGACGGGCTCTAGGACTTTTCTCCTTCGTTGGGCAGATGAAGTCATTACTGGCGGGTCCCTTCCCAAATCAGGCCCTTCTGGTGCAGATTCTTCCATCCTGATGCAGCAGCGCTGGGGCAGAGGCAGTGAGTGCTCGACAGACAGCAGAAAACTCAGGTGCAGCTTCTATTCTAGGGGCCCAAGCTGGGTTTGCGCGGCCAACCCAAAGCCAAGCGAGCATCCTGGAGAGCAAGGACGGGCACCTACTCCTCCTTGGCCCACACAGAGCTGCTGGCCTGCCCCTCCAGGTGGGGGATCACGGCCTCGGTGTAGAACTTCTCCAGCTTGGGCACCGTCTGCCCCCAGAACTCGTCGTCGAACTCGACGGGGGCCACGGCCGTCTCCTTCTTGGTGTGCACCACGAAGTCGGCCTTCCGCATGTCGGCGGCTGCCATCTGGCACTGCACCTGGGTGAAGTAGTCGTGGTCCCGCTTCAGCGCGTAGGAGTCGCCGTCCACCCGCAGGCAGAAGTCCCGGTCCTTGCAGGCCTCCCTCACCGTCCTGTTGCGGTGCTTGTAGGGGCACTTCACCTCCAGCAGCCCCAGCGGCTTCCCCGTGTCCGCCTCGGTGACGACGCCGTCGGGGCTGGCGGCGAGCCACGTCTTCTCCTTGTGGATGAAGAGGCCGCAGTCCTCCACCCGCACCGGCCGGCCCACCTCCTGTGACTTGAGCTGCTCGTAGGCCCGCACGGCCGCCTTCTCGTTGCGGATGCCCCACGACATGGCCGGCGTCTGCGCCGTGGGGCCAGGGCTCACCACAGCCTTCAGGTACGACCGCGGCACCTCGTCCGTCCGCCCGTTGGCGAACTTGCTGCCGGCGATGCGCGGCGCCACCGAGGCCGTGATGCGGTTCTCCCTCCACTCGTACCACTTGGGGTTGTTGCGTTGGCCCCGCGTCTCCTTCTCCACCCGGGGGATGTCCTGGCTGTCCAGGGGGGGCAGGAACCGGGACGAAGCCTTGCTGGGACACGGCTCAGCCTTCACTTGGCCTTCAGCTCCTTTGGTGGCCGTCGTCTTCCTCGTGCTGGCGGAGGAGCCCCCGCCGGCCGCTCCACGCTGCTCCCCGGCACCGCCTCGCGCCCTGCGGGATGTCACCGCCGTGGATTTTGGCTGGGACGAGCTGGGCTTCGCCTCCTGGCTCCGTCCAGCCACCGGCGTGCTCCTGGAGGCACGGGCAGCCGAGGCGGACGGCGGCGGGGCAGCGGGGGACGTTTTGGGGGCCGCCGCTGGCCGAGGGGACGCGGTGCTGCCGGCATCCTTCCTGGGCCGCCCCATGGCTGGGCTTCAGCGGGCTTCTGGCTGCGGGAGGGGGGAGAAAAAAGGAAAAATTCAGGGCAGAATGGGGCCGAGCTCCCTTTTTCCTTCTTTCTGCTTGGGACAAGCCTGGGCTCGCCTCGCCCGATCCAGGATGAGGCAGCAAGGGGGGGACGGGGGGGGGGCTGCTCTGGGAACCGGGAGGCACCGGGAGGGACCGGGCTGACCCCACCCGGTACCGGCACCCCCGGGCTGACCCCCCCCGGTACCGACCCCCCCAGCCCCGGTCCTGCCGGGCTCTGCCCGCTAGAGGGAAGCAGCCTCCCGGGCGGGGCTGGGGTGGGGGCACCGTATGGAAACCAGGAGCCCCTCGGACCCCCCAGGACCGACACCCCCGTCCCCATCCCCACCCCCGGTACCATCCCGGTTCCCGATCCCCCATCCCTGGGGGTTTGCTGCGGCTCTGCCCTCTCCCCCACACACCCCCCGTGCTCCCCAAACCCCCCCGATACCCCTCCCTTTCCCCCCCCCGGTACCTTCCCCCTGGTACCCCCGGTACCCCCGTCCCAAGCCCGCACCGAGGACCGGGCTCTCCCCCTCCGGGCCCCTCCCGTGCCTCCGAGTTCCGCTTCCCGGAGTGCGGCCGCCCCCAGCCGCCCGTGCCCGACCCTGCGCCCCCCCCCGGTGTCCTCCGGGAACCCCCGCCTGGGGCTGGGGCTGGATCAGCCCCGATCCGGCCCTGCGAGCCCCCCATGGGGGGGGTCTGGGCTCATCCCGGGGGGTACCGGGGTCCCTGTACCCCTTGAGGGTGTGCTGAGCACAGCCAGCATCTCCTCGGCTTTTGGGTGGTTCCTCGGGTGGCCCTAAATTTGTAGGGTTTTGCAGTGATTTAGGAGCACCTGGGGGAGCTTCAGGGCGATAACGCAGCTCATTAAACCCACCACGAGCTATGGGGAGATTTGGGGAGCGCCACCCAGGCCGGGGCTCTGCCTTGGTTTGCTTTCCATGGGATGCTGGCGGCGGGACTGGGGTCTGTGGGTGCCCAGCGGGGCTGCTGGGCCCACCCCGGCACACATTTGTAGGGTTTAACGCCCAGCTCGGCTGCACCGAGCTCTCTCAGCTCTGTTTCCAGCCTCGCAGCGAGGGCTGCTCCCTGGCTGCAGCGGCGGAGCAGTGACTGTGCAGAACAGGCAGCGCACGGCTCTTGTTTCGTGCTGGTGCGAGCACGGGGATGGAGGCAGCCGAGCTGGCCTCTCCCCGGGGCTGCCAGCCGGTTCGGGAGGCACCACTGCATCCCCGACCCCGGGCACGGCTGCATTTACCCACCCACTGTGGGGTAACGCCGGGGGCTGCCGACAGCATCAGCTGCACCCGAGCCCTGCGTCGCCCCAGCTGGTGGCACCAACCCAGCGCTCGCGTTTGGAGGCTTTTCTTAGCGTCGCTTTGGCCTAGAAACAATATCTCCGAGAAAAATCAAAGCTTGCATGTTGTTTTTTTTTTTTTTTTGCTGGTGCTGGAGCGGTCGCGGTGCTCGCAGTGGGAGCGGGAGCCTTGCGCACGCTGCAGGGCGCGTTGTGCCTTGGCGGCTCGCTGGGATGGCACTCGGCTTGGGGAAATGTGAGGTTATGGGGTGGCACCCGGCACGGGGAGCCCCTCACACCGCAGCCCTATATGCCAGGGGAGCAGAGCAGCAGAAAACCTGAGCGCTGTGCAGAAGAGGGATTGGAGGCGGCGTGCTGGAGCATCCAGTGCAGGGGCAGGGAACGGCTCGGTGCGCTCTTGCAGGCACCCAGGGGACCCGCAGAGTGCCTCTCCAGCAGCTAATTGCGCTGGCTGAAGTGCAGCGTAACGAGCCGGGAGGAGGGAGCGTGCCCTGCGGTACCATGTGCGGCAAAAGGCGTCTTCCAGCGGAGGTTTCCATCCCTTGCTGCTTCTGCAACCGCCTCCAAATCCGGTGCTGAGGACCCCGAAGCCTGCGACGGTTTGGGGGTGAGATCCAGCCCATGCTCTGCTCCGAAATCACCTGCTGCTGAGGACCGGGGGCTGCTGGCCCTGCCGCTGCCACTTCTCCCCGCTCGCTGCCCGTTCAGCTCGGCTCTGCTCCAGGTTTGGTGCGGCTGCAACGGTGGGTTTGGTGCCGCACGAGAGGACGGTGCCTCCCCCGTGCATGCTCTATAAAAAGTGCAGCGGCAGCACAGCCCTATCTATAGCAGCACGGCGAGGGAGCTGCCTGGAAGAGGCAGTGCAGGGATAAGCCCCAAATCTGCTGTTTTTCTGCCCAGTCCTGCTCAGGTTGGCGGTGGCTGGGGGACTCCCAGCGCCCCAGGCTGGGCTCAGCAGGATCTCCCTGCCAGCAGACGTGTCCTGCCTGTGCCAGCACCTCCTGGCCGCCCGCACCCTCCCCAGCAGACTTTTCGCCACGCTCTTCACCCAAAAGCCGAGCTCTCCCTGGTTCCCCCCCAGCTTTTTTCCTGCTCTTCTTCAGAGCTGGGATCCCCCCGTGCCACGTGCAGGCTCCGTGGGTCCCCGGGGTGCCTGCGTTTGGGGCGGATGCGCTGCCTCGGCGCTGCATGACGCCCACCTGGAGGCCTGGTCCCCTCGGCCACCCCCTGGGACCCCCCCGGTGCCACACGTGAGTGCGTCCCCCAGCCCTCCCCGGGGCCACGGTGGCGGGGATCGTGTCTCTTTAACGAGGCTGGGCTTGGAGCAGCTCTGGCTGCTGGCACAGGGAGCGAGGGATGGAGCAGCGGCGGTGAAGGAGTCGGTGCCAGAGCAGGAGCTGCAGCAGGAGGGGCGGTGGCACCGCTCGGCCCCGCTGTGCGGACCCCCACCCGAGGGGAAGGGACCCCCCCAAGGCAGAGGTTTCTCGTGGTGCTGAGCCTGCAGCCTCTGTGTCATCCTCATCCTGCAGGTAAGGCCTGGGGCAGGGGGATTGGGGTGCTTTGGGTTCACGCAGCTGCTGGTGGGGCAGCCCCGAATTGCAGGGGGGGGGTTAGAAGGGAGCCAGGTGGTCTCAGCACTAACTGAAAGTGCTGAGACCACCAGGACTTTAAAGCCAGCACCGGTGGCTCTAATAACTGCAGGACCATCCCTCAGGGATGTGGGCTGTGCCATAAACACCCCGTGGCTGAAGGGGCAGCGGGAGCCTTCTGCAATCCTGTCCTGGGGGGCTCTGTGGGGCTGGGATGCTTCTGTGGGGGTGCACTGACGGGAATTCCTGCTCCCTGGCACGGGGCTGTGGTTTTCCAGGGGGTTCGGTGGCTCAGGGGAGGGAAGAGCAGCAGGATGGGACAGAGAGGGGGGCAAGAGAGAGCTTTTAGCCAGCGGCAACGTGGCTGGGAAGCGTGCGCCGTGGTGGGCAGGGGGATTTGAGGGGGGCAGTGTCTGTCCTGGACGTTTTCTGTGTGCCTGCACGCACCTTGCTCTGCTCCACTCAGACTTTCCAGCAGGGAAAGCTGCGAGAACACCTGGGGCTGGGGGTCAGGGTGGGGGTCAGCACAGCTGATTGTGGTTCCAGGCAGCCCCCTGCCCGTGGTGCCCTTTGCCTTTTGCAGCCCCTGGGGAAATCCCCCTGCCCTGGGCTCCCTGCAACATGGCTTGCCCCACAGGCAGCAGCCTGCCCCTGCTCCAGTGGCTGTGCTGGGACGGATCCTGCTCCCAGGGCCTCACATCCCAACCAAGCGATGCCCCGCAGGCAGGGCAGCACCCCCAAGCAGCAGGTGGAATGATCCCTGTGGGGTGTTGCCGCGGGGACTCAGGACCCAGCCCCTCCATCCCGGTTGTTCCCAGCCCTGTGCCACTGTCACCGCTCATCTCCAGTGGAAATTTCCACTGGGTTTGCCCCTGTTTGGGCCGAGCTCCCCCTTGGCCCCAGCCAGGCAGCCGTCGGTGCAGCAGGTGAAGCTGTGCCGCTGTTCCCGGCTGCCTACAGCCGCCCCGTGCGCTTGGGCACCGCGCACGCCTGGCTTTCAGCAGCACCTGCCTGGAACAAATCCCCCTGCTCAGAGGACAGACACGAAGTTATCCGGAGCTAGGGGCGAGCGGCTTCTCCCCTCAGTGCCCATCGCAGCTCCGTGGGCAGGGAGGATGAGGAGGGGGCTGCGAAGGTGCCCGTGGTTGCACTGGAGGTGGGATGTGCTGGCGATGCCGCGCTGGCACCGGGGACAATTTGCTGCTCCAGGGGCTGTGGCCGGGGCGAGGACCTTCAGGTCTGGTTTTATTCATTACCTCGGGGCTTAGAGCAGCCTGCGGGAAGCGCGGCAGGGCCAGATGGGCCCTGTTTACCCTGGCAGTGTAAATGCAATGAGGAGTGATAAAAAGCAGCCGGGACAGCTTCTCCTCTAAGCCCGGTAAACAAGGCGGCGTGCCCCGGCCGGGGGGCGGCACGGCAAACAGCGGGCGCGTTGCTGAGCGCTGAGCCAGGTGCCTTGGGAACTAATGGAAGGGCTTTGGGGTGAAATCCCTCCTGAATGGCTCAGGGCAGCCGGGTGGGGGGCGTCCTGCTCCCCAGAGCTGGGTGCTGCAGCAGAGTGCCCCCTGTGCGTGGTGAGAGCAGGAGGGGGCACCTGGCACATGGGGCTGGAGGTGGCGAGGAGCGCAGGGTGACGGGGACGTGCCAGCACCACCCCAAGGACCCCTCTGACCCCATGGTTTCACTGGGATGCAGCCACATTGCTAACACAGCCCCCCGGGGGCTCCCTGCCCCGTGCCGGGCTCAGCTCCTGAGGTTCAGCCCTGCTCTGCCTTCAAGGATGCTCCAACCGAGGCACCCTTCAGACGAGGGCACCCCGCCTCGTGTTCCCGACGCCCGCACGAGCTGTTCCTGGGGCGAAGGCCGCCGGGGCGGGGGCACCAGATGGTTTGCTTCTACCTGGCCTTGTCCTTGCCACACGCTGAAACCCACAGCGGGACGCGGCTGCTTGGTGTCAGGCGCTTGGGGATGTGTTGGGGGGGTGCAGAGCCACGCAGGCTGCCCCGAATATTTCACGAGACTTGATGATGGCAGGGGGTGAGGAGACATTGGGCAGACCCCGGGCAGCATTTTGGGGTGCTGCTCCCGGGTGTTGTGGGTGGCAAGGCATCCCAAGCAGCCTCCACCCATAGCCACACACCCGAATCTCCACGCCGAGCTTCGCTGCCCCGAGGCACAGCATCATCCATCCCCTCAGCATCCCCTCCCTGCAGAGCCTTCCCCTCCGTGCCGCTCCTCGGAGCGGTGCTGACCTTGTTGTTAATTATTAACCCCCCAGCAAACACCGCTCTCTGTTTTGTCCTAGTTACGCTGCGGGCTCCTCTCGCATCTTTTTTATTTTTTTTCAACGAATTGCCCTGGTAACCTCTGTGGGTGGATGGAGATGGGAGCAGCAGATGCTCCCCTCCCAGCCAGCGCGGGAGATGCGCTGGGGAGGCCCCAGAGCCACCAAGGCTGCTTTGGGGTGGCCGAGAGATGGGGCCACACGTGTGGCTGTGTGCTTAGGAGTCCTGGTGCCCGCGGGCTCCATGGCTCCAGAGGGCTGAGGTTCGGCTCCAGACCCCGTCTCCAGAGCAGAGATTTGGGTTCAGGTCCATGCGCCCCATCCCCCTGTGGGGATGATGAGCGTGTCCCCCTCCCCGGCAGCCCGCACCGAGGGACCATGCCGGGTCTGTACGCGCTCTCCTCCTGGGAGGCTCTGCCCCTGAAGAGCTCCAGGGTGAAGGCCTGTGCCAACGGCTACGCCCTGAGCATCGCCGCCCACCTGGTGTACACCAACCCCTGCGAGGAGCCCGTGGAAGGTAAGAGGGGTTGCAGGAAACCTAAAAACCCCCGTGCCGGGGAGCACCCCGTCCCCAGCCCCTTTACCACACAAGGGCACCCTGCATGCCCTGCAGCTCGGATGAGTTTTTGGGGGCTCTGCCTCGGGGCTGTCTCCCACCCACAGGTATCTTCATCTACCCGCTGGAGGAGTCGGAGGTGGTGGCCGGCTTCGAGGCGGCGGCGGGCAGCAGGCGGGTCACCTTCCAGGTGCAGAGCCGGCACCGGGCGCAGGACTGCTGCCTCGAGTGCCGCACCAGCCCCGGGCGGCCGCGCCGCTGTGCCGCCGGTGAGTACCACGGTGCCACTATTCGCATGGCAAGGTGGGGGCACCACGGGCTGGAGAGCCCCAGCCAGGCCATCCCGGTGCCTTGGAGGCTTTTGGGACTGGAGATCCCGGTGTCTCCTCTCCGGGAGGGTGGTGGAGCTGCTCCTCTTCCTCACCGCTCCCCCTCTGCCCAGGTCACCTCGTCCTGGACGAAGACGCCGAGCGCTCCACCTTCGTCATCAGCACGGGCTCGCTGGGCCCGGCCGAGAGCCTGGCCGTGACGCTGCGCACGGCGCAGGAGCTGCCCACGCTGCCGGGGGGGGCCCTGCGCCTCGTCCTCCCCCCGGTCCTCGCGCCGCGCGTCGCCGCCGCCCCCGAGCGTGAGAGCGAGCCGGGAAGCTTGTGTGACGACAGGTTGGCCCTATGGTGATTTTCACTGCTTCCTGAGGCTCTGCCGTCCCGGGGGGGGACGCCGGGGGTGCAGGGGAGGCGCGGGGGCCCCGGCGCTGCCCTCACCCCGCTCCCCTTGCAGCCCCACCAGCTGTTTCGGGGGGCCCAGCACACGGAGCCAGCCTGCCCCCGCGGCCCCCGCGGAGAGCACGGACGTCTTTTGGGGACAGCCCCGCAACCCCTTTCCTTACGAGTTCGCCTTCGAGCTGCTGGTGAAGGGCCCCTGCTTGCTGGCAGGTAGGGCTGGGGGTGTGGAAGCTGCGGGATGAGCACCCCCCCGTCCCCAAATCGCCCCACACCTGGCAGGGCCACGGCTCTGGGCCGCTGCCACCAGGCTCTGAGTCAGCAGCCTCCGTCCTGTCCTCGGCGGAGGCGTGATGGATGGAGGCTGCGGGGGGTGCCGGGCAGACGGGGTGCTCCTGGCCGCCGGCAGCGCTAATCCCATCAGCGCTGGCAGGCGAGCGGCGTCCTTGGGCCCGTGGCCGTGCCAGGTCTGGAGCCGACCGGGGCTGCCCCCACCTATTTGTGTCCCCCCCCCAGGCCTGGAGAGCCCGACCCATGCACTGCGTGCTGACGCTGACCCCTGGGCCACCTCTGCCACCACCACCTGTGTCACCCTGGCTGAGCGCCACCGCTATGACAGGGACGTGGAGATCATCCTCTACCCCTGCGGTAAGGGCTGCTGGTGCCTGGAAGAGCCATGGGTTTGGGGGAGGTTGGGCATGGCCCCCAAATCTTCTGGGCTTGGGGCGGCTGTGAGCCCTTTCCGCGCCCCCCCCAGAGCCCCACCAGCCCCACCTGGTGATGGAGGAGGGCACCATGAGCTACCCCGAGTACGAGGCGCACATCCGGAGCCGCCGGGACTACGCGCGGATAGCCAGGAAGGACGGCAGCGGCGAGAGACAGGTGATGGGGCACGGCCGGTGCCAGCCCGCAGGGAGGACAACGGGGTGGGGGGGACATGAGGGAGACCCCGGTGTGGGCTTTGTGGGGCCGAGGGGTGCGAAGGAGCCCCTCACCCTCCCTCCTGGCTTGCAGGTGGCCTTTGTGCAGAAGCGTTTCCACAAAGACATCTTCCCCAACCCCGTGCTGATGCTCAACTTCTGCCCGGCGGTGGAGCCCGCCCCGGGGGACCTGCAGAGCATCACCCGCGAGGTCCTCTTCCTCGTCGACCGCAGCGGCACCATGAGCAGCCCCGACGTCGACAAGGTCAAGGTGAGGAGGGGCAGCAGGGGCTGGGGGCTCTCACTGAGTGGCAGGCCCTCAGCAGCGCTCCCCGTCCCCTCGCCACCACCCCAGGAAGCTCTGCTGGTGGCCCTGAAGAGCCTCCCGTCGGGGACCCTGCTCAACATCGCCGGCTTCGGCTCCGACGTCCAGCCGCTCTTCCCCTCCAGCCGCCTCTGCAGCAACGTGAGTGCTGCTGGGGGATGCACAGCCCCTGCCCCCTCCATCCTCCCCACCCCAACCCCTTCCCCATGGCTCCTGTCCGTCCCACGAGCTGTCCATCTGTCCATCCGTGGGTGCAGGAGACGCTGCGCCGCGCCTGCCGGCACCTGGGCGAGCTGCGGGTGGCCACGGGTGGCCCCGACCTCCTGGCGGCCCTGAGCTGGGCGCTGGCACAGCCCCTGCACCACGGCTACCCCCGGCAGCTCTTCCTCTTCACCGCGGCGGCGGCGGCGGGTGGCACGGGCAGGATCCTCCAGCTGGTGCGCCGGCAGGCCAGCACCGCCAGGTACGGCACCACAGCAGGGGCACGGCGCTTTTTCCCCAAAAATGTTTATTTTTTTCAGCACGTGGCTCCTTCCCGCAGGTGCTTCAGCTTCGGCATGGGCCCACGGGCGTGCCGGCGGCTGCTGACGGCCGTGGCCAAGCTGAGCCGGGGCTGTGCCGAGTTCCTGAGCCCGGCTGAGAGGCTGCAGCCCAAGGTAAGGCCTGGCACGGGGCAGGGAATGGGGGAACCGTGGTGTGGATGCCAGCTCCTCTCCCCTCCCCAGCTCATCAAGTCCCTGAAGAAGGCGATCGAGCCGGCTGTCAGCGACATCACCATCGACTGGTACGTCCCCGACAGCACCGAGGCCCTGCTCTCGCCCACCGAAATCGCAGCCCTGTACCCCGGGGACCGGCTGGTCAGCTACTGCACCCTGTACAGCATCGCCCGATTCCGGGACAGGCGCCCGGCGGTGAGACCGGGGGCCCTACACACCTCCCCGGCACATTTCCAGCCCCCTGCGTGGCCGTGCCATGGGGCTGTGTGTGTGACGGGGCTGATGGTGGGACCCTCTCTCCGCCAGGGCCGGGACAGGGCTCGCAGGGGCTCGGCTGTCCCCTCACAGGACGAGGTGCCCAGCCCCGGGGGGACGCGGCCACCGGTGCCCGGGGAGCGCCGCGAGCCGTCCCGAGGCAGCGCAGGCTCCGGAGAGGTCTCCCTGGAGGTCTCGGCTGGTGGCACGGAGGAGTCGGAGCGCAGTGAGTGGGGACGGGCAGCGGGAGCAGCGGGGGTGGCACAAGGGCAGTGTCCTGATGGGGTGCGCATTTATCGAGCAGGCACGGACCTCGTGTCGGGGGGAGACATCTGGAAGCGGATTTACCAGCCCTCCTACATCCAGGAGCAGTACGTCCTGACCCACTGCTCCGTCAGCACCGACCGCAGCCAGGGGCTGCTCTCCCGCAGCTCCACCAGCAGCGAGTCCACCGGCTCCCGCGACGTGGCCCCCGAGGGAGGCTCCCCGGCCCCCGACGCCGCATCCCAGCAGGGCCAGAAGAGCCTGTCCCTCTGCGAGTCCTCCACCAAATCCGCCCCGCTGCCCTCGGCCCCGGCCCCGGCTGGCGTCAAGGTAAGGCTGATCCGCCCGCGGTGCTGGGGCTGCTCCCCATGTAGCTGGGGTCTCGTTGTGCCTGGACAACAGGCTGGAGGCTGGGTTCAGCTCAGGGTGCTGCCAGGAGGCTCCTGGCGTGGTTTTGTCCCGCTGGAAGGGCAGCTGGGGACCAAATAGCCCCCTCTTCCTTGTCCCCCCTCCCCGTTCCCCGGGCTGGTAGGCAGCCGTGTGGCTAAGCAAAGCCTCAGCCAGCTCAGGTCCTCGTTGACGCTGCAGGAATCAAGCGAAAGCAGTTGGGCTGGCACCAGGTAACGAGCCTGCCAAGCGAGGGAGAGGGTGGGCTGGCTCCTGCCCGGCTTCCTCAGCCCTCTGCCAAAGCCGAACGATGCTTCATTAGCGCCGGGCACGTCCCGGCTGCTTAATGGCTGGGTTTAAAATCCAGCCAGGTCGCTGCGGTGGGGAGCGGCTGCTCCCTGGTAGCAGGGTGAGGACGGCCCCGAGGCCAGGCGAGGCCAGCTGTCCCCGCGGCTCTGGGACACCCTGCTGCTCCTCCCCGGCGCGGCTTAGGTAACCCGCGCCCGCTGCACAATAGCAGGGGCAGCTGGTGGCCTTTGCAGCCGAAATGTCAAGCGTAAGTGATTTGCCCGTGGCGTAAACGATCCCCCCTGTGCTGTTGGGGTGACACAGACGGGTGCCGCTGCCCTGCCCCAGCTCCAGGCTGAAGCCCAGGCAGGCACCGGGGTGTGCTCCAGCCCTGAGCAGCCAAACTGAGCCCCCACAAGCTCAAACATCACTGAGAAATCCTCTCATCTCCATGTTGACCTGAGCCAGGTGTTTGCAATCTCCCATCTCGGCACAATCAGCCCTGCCCACGTGCATTAAGCGCTTGGCGAGCATCACCTGTTGCTCAGGGAGGCTGTTGGGTTGTTGTTGCCAGCTTGCAGAGCAGCAGGGCAGAAGGAGCTGGGCACCGGCTGGGGCTGCAGATGTCCCGTCGTGTTTTGGCACAGCCGGGCCCTGTCTGGGCTCCCTGCCGGTGCCCACCAGCTCGCCGTGAGCCTTCCCCGCAGGTACCGGCGGCCCTGAGCGCCGAGGAGCTGGCACGGAAGCAGAAGGCTCTGGCACGAGCCGCCCTGGCCGGCCGCAGCTTTTCCTCGCCGCACGGGGAGCTGGACGCACGGCGGCTCTGCCGGGCCCTGGAGAAGGTGTCGCAGAAGAGGAACCAGTCCCTGGAGGGGCGGCTGGACCAGCTGGGCCCCAAGACGCCGCGGCTGCAGCACAGCGTGGGGGAGTCGAGTGAGTGGTGGCTTTGGGGACAAGGGGTGGCCCTAGTGTCATGCAGAGCCGCCGTGCCAAGCCCGCGTCCTGTGCCGCTCAGATAACCTGCTCTCGCCCACCCACCTGGACTGGGACATGCTGGTGGAGCCCTCCTACCTCTTCAGTGCCTCGCCCGAGGTGAGGGAGCCCAGCCAGGGCGATCCCTGCCTGCCCCTGCGCTGCCACGTGGTGATCCACGGGCTGCGGGCCGGCAAACCCGTGTCCTGGGAGGTGACGGCCTCGCTCGAGTCCCTGCTGCGGCCCCGGGATGGGACGGGAGGCGAGGAGCCCCCACGGCGAGCGGGTATGGACGGGGAGAAACCCCTGCACGGCTTGGCAGCGCGCTCCGTCATCCGGGACAGCGAGAAGGCGGCTCAGCGGGAGGCTGAGCTGGAGCAGGGTGGGTGCCAGTCCCCATCCCGGTCCCCATCCCAGTCCCTGCTGCTTCTCACCCCCCGCTAACAGCCCCTTCTGGGCAGGTTTCGCCCGCCGGTTTCGCCTGAAAGCCATGCAGACCAGCAAAGCCTGCAACGTGCCTTCCCTCTACACCTGCGTGGTGCCCGTGGATGGAGCCACGCGGGCAGCGCTGCCCGCGGCCCCACAGGTGTGGGGTACAGGTAGGCAGGGCCGTGGGGGTCCTGGCGCGGAGCTGGGGGGCTGAACGGGATGGGGAAGGGGGAGAGGGCACGGCACGGGCTGAGCTGCCGTGGTGCCTTGCAGCCGGCTCGGCCGGGAGCTGGCGGCACCGGAGTGGCTCGGCGAGCCTGGGCCAGCAGCGGGACGTGGAGGAGCAGGAGGAGGCTCTCATCGGCCCAGGTATGGGATCCCTGAGGACCCTGGGTGCTGTGGGGTGTTCCCAAAATTGTTGGTGAGCTGCCCCAAGTCATAAGGCTCCAGGAGGAGCCGCCGATCTCTGCCCCGCGCTGGGGAGGGGGCGGCAGCTCCGTGCCACGAGGACAGGGCGGACGCGGTGCCCTCGGGGCTTTGGTGTCTTGCAGAGAGGGACGAGGTCCCCGGCTCTCCAGCCAGCGTCTCCTCTGCCACCTCGGGCTGGGAAAAGCAGAACGGCACTAACGGTACGTCCAGGGGTGAGGGACAGGGGCTGCCCCATCACCGGTGGAGCCCCGTGGTGCTGGCACCCCCCATGCCCCGAATCCCCTCATGGGTCGGGGCACGTGGGCTGAACGCTTCCCCGTGCACCACGGCCCCACCACGCTCAGCTCTCCCCATTTTAGGGCCTCCAACCAGCCCCTCCACCTCCTCCATGGGCTCGCAGAAATCCACCGAGAGCATCGCTGGCTCCAGGTGAGGCTGCCCCACTCCATGCCTCGGGACAGGGGGCACGGCACCCCATAGGGCACAGGGATAGGGGCAGTGCCGCCTCCTGGTTTGGGGGGGGGTCTGTGCTCCAGCCCCTTCCTTCCAGCAGCCTGGCAGTGGACTGGGCCCCCCCCTTGCCCCATTAATTGCCCCGTTAATTGCTGTTTGCCCTGGGCAGGTTCAGCCTGAGCCGGCGCAGGGGGCCCAGCCTGGCGCTGCGCCCGCACTGCCTCAGCCCCGAGAGCGAGCGCTCCAGCACCAGCGCCAGCCACGACTACCTCCCGCTGGTAGGGATCTGTCCCTGGGGGGGTCAAACAGGGTGTCCCCCCCCTCCCCGGGTCACACATCCCACACCTGCAGCACCCCGGGGAGATGCTCAGTTTCGCCAGCTGCAGCAGCCTGGCCGAAACAGCCGAGGATGCAAATCCAGCGGCTCGGAGGGGTGCTGCTGTGTCCTTGCGTGGCCCTGGGGGCCTCTGAGGGCTATTTTGGGGGAGGATTTGGGCAGTCCCCGTGCCCCAAAGGGCACTCCTGAAACCCCAACCCTGCGTACTGGGCCTGCAGAGGGTCTGGGTCCCCTCCTGCCTCCCCCACTCTCCCACCCCCCCGTTGCAGGTGCAGCTGCAGCAAGCCCGGGGCCCCTTCCAGCTCACCGAGAGCTTCTCCGAGGTGGTGCAGATCCCCCTGGACCGCCTGCGCCGGGCTTCCCCGTACGCCTCCCACCGCGCCAGCCTCAGCCCCACATCCCCGGTGGCCAAAAGCAGCCCTGGGGCAGGACCCTCCGCCGAGGAGCCGGCGGCAGCCCCCGAGCCCGGCTCGCCCCCATCCCACAGCACCTGCTCCGAGGTGCCCAGCGCGGCCGTGTGGGCGCAGGCGGACAGCGGGCACGGCTCCGAGTCCGACACTGGCCCCCACTCGGCCGCCCCCTCGGAGGCTGGCCTCAGCTGGCAGGACGCAGGCCCTGAGGACCTGGAGAGCGCCAGCTGGGCCACGGCGGTGGCCCTGGCGTGGCTGGAGCACCGCTGCGCCGGCTTCTTCGAGGAGTGGGAGCTGGTGGCGGCCAAGGCGGACGCGTGGCTGCAGGCGCAGCGGCTGCCCGAGGGGGTGGACGTGGGCTGCCTCAAAGGGGCAGCCAGGCACTTGTTCCTGCTGCTGCGTCACTGGGACGAGAACATCACGCTGAACATGCTGTGCTACAACCCCAACAACGTGTGACGGCCCCGGGGTTGGGGGGGGGGGGCCCTAATAAACAGACGCCTGGCTCCGTGCTGCCTGTGCGCGTGTCTGTGTCCCAGGTTGGGGGCATCGCTCCCCTTCCCCGCCACCCCCTGGGGGAAGGCGAAGGCAGGGAACGAGGAAAAACCCAGCTGAAGGGGGTCAGGCTGCAGGAGGTGCATCGAGGCTGCTCAAACAAAGGGTTTTGCAGGTGCTCTGACTTAACCTCGCTGCAGAAGCTGCTCCCTGGAGGTGGGAGAGGCTCACGCACAGCTCTCCTGGCGCTGCCACAGCACGAGGACACTGTGGCTGGGGAAGGGCCCCCAAAAACCCCCTTTATTGGAGAAGTCCTGCCCGCTGGGGGGTCCCCGCGCCGCCCCCTTCGCACAGTTCCAAGGCTCGGGGTCCTCCCGGAGCTGGCTGGGAAGCAGAGCAGGCAGAAGGAGCAGTCCCGGAGCCCGTTGCCATCGTCCAGCCGGCCACGCTCTCACCTCGCCTTCTTGGAGAGGGGAGCGGGCTTCTTGCCGGGCTGGGGTGCGTGCGGGGCCGGCAGCGGGGCCGTGCCGTACCACAGCTGCAGCAGGACGAGTCCGTGGCAGATGTGCAGCGAGAGGGAGCTGCAGACCGTGGAGGGGTAGGTGTTCCAGCAGAGCTCGATCACGCCCAGCAGCAGCACCCTGCGGGGAGAAGCTGGGGGGCAGCAGGAGAGCCACGGCAGCCCCCTCCCCGGCTCCCAAAACCCCGGCTCCTGCTTGGCACGTACTTGGGCATGTGGGCGAGCTTGGCGGTGGGGGTGCACCAGAGCAGGTAGGGCAGCGTGTGGAAATACCAGACGTAGAACTGGTAGTGCAGGGAGCGGCTGCAGCAGACGCCCAGGAAGTTGGAGGAGAAGAGGACGAAGACGATCTGTGCGCAGGCGTTAAGGCGACAAACGCAGGCGGCGCCCTCCCCACCGCGGCTCCTGTGGAGGCCAAACCTCAAATCTGCCCCGTTTTCCCCCCCCTTTTCCTCGCTGCCCGCTCTGCCAAAGGATATTGTTGACGCTCAGCGGAGGGGACGGGTGCTTTCTGTCGGCGGGGTCCTTGAGCAGGGACAGGATGCTCTCGCCGGACCTGAGGGGGAAGCACAAGCGGGGGGCTCAGCTGCTGGATGCCTGTCCCACATTTTTCCCCTGTGAGCCTGACCCTCTCGCAGCAGCAGCTTCCCCACAACCCTGTAGGGACGGGGGGAGGCTCAGGGGAATCCCGGCTCTCACCTGTGCCACCGGTGCAGGGCGAAGAGCCCCAGCCCGGCCAGGTGAGCCAGCAGCAGCAGGGCGTGAAAAACCCGACTGTGGAAAACCTCTTCTGGCAGGAAGCGCCAGTTCACCGTCCACTTGAACTGGAACTGGCGCCCCAGGTCGAAGGAGCGGCTCAGGTAGCCCACGGGGTTGGCCAGCAGGAAGGGCAGCCCCAGGAGCACCTGCGGGACACGCAGCGGCCCCTCGCAGCAGCCCCGCACCCACCAGGTCTCCATCGCCCCACAGCCCCACACGGGGTGGCGGGGACAGGCTGGAGCCCCGTGGATTTGCTTCTGCAGCAGCACCCGGCTCGCTGAGCGGGTGCTGGGGCTGCTTTTAGGGCTTTCAGGCCCTGGGGGGGTGGGGGGGGATGCTGAGGATCAGGGACCTACCTGGAGCAGGGCGCAGATGCACAGCTTGGGGATGCAGCCCAGGAGGCCGAAGCGTTTGAGGAGGAGGAAGAGCAGCCCGGGTGCGAAGAGCAGGATGTTCATCTTCACCGACACGGCCAGGCTGGGCGGGGAGCAGGGTTATTGGTGTCACCTCCCATGGGGTGGGTGCCCCCCCTGTGTGCCCCCCGCGCCGAGCACAGCCCCGGCAGCCCCGCACCTGAAGAGGAGGCAGCCCCAGGACCAGCGCTCCTCCAGGAAGAGGTTGATGGCGAGGAAGAGGATGGCCATGGCCACCGGGTCGTTAAAGAGCCGCAGGACGAAGATGGAGTGGATGCGGTAGGAGGCGCAGCACATGAAGAAGAAGACGTACGGGGGGACCTTGCGGGGGGACGGAGGGACACGGAGGCCGTCAGGGGACATATAGAGGCCACCAGGGGACATATAGAGGCCACCAGGGGACATGAAGGCCACCAGGAGGCCACCAGGGGGACACGGAGGCCACCAGGGGACACAGAGGCCACCAGGGGACCACCAGGGGACACGGAGATGACCAAGAGGCCATCAGGGGACACGGAGACACGGAGACCACCAGGGGGCCACCAGGGGACACGGAGGCCACCAGGGGACATGGAGACCACCAGGGGACACAGAGACCACCAGGAGGCCACCAGGGGACATGGAGACCACCAAGGGAACATGGAGGCCACCAGGAGGCCACCAGGGGACACAGAGGCCACCGGGGACATGGAGGCCACCAGGAGGCATGGAGACCACCAGGGGACATGGAGGACACCAAGAGGCCACGGAGGCCACCAGTAGCTCACCCCGGACCCCCAGCCACCCCGACCCCAACCCCACACCACCCCTTCCACCCCGGACGAGCCCCCCCGGGCACCTTGTTGGTTCGGCAGTAGATGCGGAAGACCAGGAGGAGGTTGAGGAGGTAGAGGCCGGCGAAGATGTACTGCGCCAGGCGGACGTCGGCGCCGCGCCCCGTGGCGTAGTACAGCCCCAGGAAGATGTAGACAAAGCCGGCCGGGTAGCTGGGGGGAGAAAAGGGGGGGTTATAGGGTTAGGGGGGTTGAGGTCACGGGGTTGGCCTCCCCCCGGCCTCCCCACTCACACCAGGGGCCCGGTGTCACCGCGCAGCTGCGTGTAGTCGCGGGTGCCGTTGGCGAAGCCCTCCACCTCCGCCATGTAGGCCTGCCAGTCGATCTCGGTGTCTGCGGGGAGAGGGGGGGGGACACACGACACGGCGGCGGGGTTTGAGCCTCGTGAGGCTGCCCCCCCTCCAAAAAAAATAAACCCCCAAAAATAAATGCAAAAAATAACACCTCCCAAAAAAATAAAATAAGCCCCCTCAAAATAACCTCCCCCCCAAAAAAATAAAAAATAACACCCCCAAACAATAACCCCCCCAAAAACAAACCCCAAAACAATAACCCCCCCAAAAAAACAAAGAAATAACCCCCAAAATAACCCCAAAATAATAACCCCTAGAGAAAGAGCCCCCCCAAAATAACCCCCCAAAATAACCCCAAAACAATAAACCCCAAAAAATAACCCCCCAAAAAACAAACCCTAAACAATAACCCCCCAAACAATAACCCCAAAAAAATAAACCCCCAAAACAAACTCCAAACAATAACTCCCCAAAGAAATAACCCCCCCAAAATAACCCCAAAACAATAACGCCCCCCAAAAATAACCCCTAAACAATAACCCCCCCAAAGAAATAACCCCAAATAAATAACCACCAAAACAATAACCACCAAATAAATAACCCCCAAAAAATAAACCCCCCAAAATAACCCCAAAACAATAACCCCCCCAAAATAACCCCAAAGAAATAACCCCAACAAAATAAGCCCCCCAAGCAATAACCCCAAAAATAACCCACCCAAAAAATAACTCCAAAATAATAACCCCCAGAGAAATAACCCCAACAATAATAACCCCAAAAAATAACCCCCCCCCAAAAAAAAAATCAAAACAATAACCCCAAAACAATAACCCCCCCCCCCAAAAAAATAACCCCAAAGAAATAACCCCCAAACAAAACCCCCCCAAAACAATAACCCCCAAAACATAACCTCCCAAAAAAACCCACCCCAAACCCCAACCCCCTCCCCTTTACCCCCCCCCCCCACTCACAGGGCACCCTGCGGATGACCCAGAGGTTGACCCCCCCCTCTGCCAGGCAGAGGCAGGCAGCCACCAGCGGGGTGTAGCGGGGCTCCAGCAGCGCCTCCCGCCGGCCCCGCCATGCCCGGCGCAGCACGGCCGCCATCACCGGGCCCCCCCCGGTCCTTCCCGGTGCCCCCCCCCGGTCCTTCCCGGTCCCCCCCGGTTCTTCCCGGCCCCCCCCCGTTTGCAGCCGGAGCCGCCCCGGAAGCCTCCCGGTGTCCCCCCCCCTCCTCTTCCCTTTCCTTTGCGCCGCCTCCGCCATGCGGCCGTGCCCCCCCCCCACACACCCCCCCCGGTACCGGGACTGGGGGTACTGGGAGCAGCGGTACCGGCAGGGGGCTGCCGAGCCCCGGGAGTGGCTGGGGGGGTTCGCACGGTTCCGGGAGCTGCTGGAGGCTGAGATCAAGCACGGGGATAAGATCCTCGTCCTAGGTATGGGGGGGTCCTGAGGGGTTCCTGGGGGGTTCCTGAGGGTCCTGGGGGGGGGTACGGGGGGTACCGGGAGTCCTGGGGGGTTCCTGGGGGTCCTAGGGGGGTCCTGGGGGTCCTGGGTGGGGTACCAGAGGTCCTGGGGGGGTCCTGAGAGGGTCCTGGGGAGGGTCCGGGGGTCCTGGGGGGTTTCTGGGGGGGTACTGGGGATCCTGGAGGGTTCTTGGGGGTCCTGGGGTGTTCCTGGGGGGTATTGGGGGTCCTGGAGGGTTCCTGGGAGTCCTGAGGGGGTCCTGGGGAGGGTACTGGGGGTCCTGGGGAGGGTACCAGGGGTCCTGAGAGGGTACCGGGGGGTCCTGGGGGGGTACTGGAGGTCCGGGGAGGTCCTGGGGGGGTCCTGGGGAGGGTACCAGAGGTCCTGGGGGGGTACCGGGGGGTCCTGGGGAATTCTTGGGGGTCGTGGGGAGGGTCCTGGGGGTTCCTGGGGGGGTCCTGGGAAAGGTACCAGGGGTCCTGCAGGGTACCGGGGGACCCTGAGGGGGTCCCGTTGAGTCCCGGGGGAGGTCCCAGTTGAGTCCTGGGGGTTCTGGGGGGGGTCCTGGGGAGGGTCCCAGGGGGTCTGGTGGGGGTCCCGGGAAGTCCTGGGGGGGGTCCCGGAGTCCCCTGAGGGGGTCCTGAGGGGGGGGTACCGGTGGTCCTGGGGGAGGTCCCGGATGAGTCCTGGGGGGGTCCTGGGGAGTACCAGGGGGTCCTGGAGGGTCCCAGGGGGTCCCAGGGGCTGTGAGGGAGCCGGCAGGGCGACACCAGGGTGATAATCCCACCTGGGGGGAGCGTTAGGGGGGGGATTAGGTGTGTGTGTGGGATTAGGGGGGATTAGGGGTGGAATCGCCGATCCCCTTAGCGGCTCAGCCCGCTGCTGCTAACGACACCCCCCCAGTGTGTGTGTGTGTGTGTGTGTGTGTGTGTGTGTGATGGGACCCCCCCAGGGACCTCCCCATTGGGACAGGGCAACCCCAAGCTCTGTTGGGACCCCCCACATTGGGGTGGGACTCCGAGGGGCCCCCCCCTTGGGACGTCCTATTGGGACAGGGAAGCCCCCAACTCTTTTAGGACCCCTCAGCCAGTACAAGGCATCCCCCATCCCTATTGGGACCCCCTATTTGTGACCAAGAACCCCTCCATCTCATTCGGGACCCCCAATTAAGATTGGGAACCCCCCCCCCTCCCTGATTTCAGGCTGTGGGACCAGCACCCTGAGCTACGACCTCCACGAGGGGGGCTACCGGGATGTCACCAGCATCGACTTCTCTCCGGCCTGCATCGAGGCCATGCGCGCCCGCTACTCCCACTGCCCCGGCCTGCGCTGGGCCGTCATGGACGTGCGCTCCCTGGCCTTCCCCGACGCCTCCTTCGACGTGGTGCTGGAGAAGGCCACCCTGGACGTGCTGCTGGTGGACGAAAAGGACCCCTGGCGCGTCTCGGCCCCCGCCGCCGCCGCCATGCACCGGGTGCTGGCGGAGGTAATGGCGGCACCGCCACGGGCGCCATGTTTGGGGTGGTGCTGTGTGCCCCCCTTGTGGGGTTGAGTGCTGAGGGTGGGATGCGTCCCCATGGGGTGGCTGTAGGGTGTCACCTTCCCCGAGGCCAGCAGGGCCCCCCTGCGGGGGCCCTGCTGGCCTCGGGGAAGGTGACACCCTACAGCCACCCCCCCCCCATCCGGGCTTCGATCCCATTAGCGGGGTCCCCGTCCTGCAGGCCCGGTCTCGGGGTTGCCATGGGAACCCCCATTGATATCGACAGGGACAGGCGATGCCTCCGGGTCCCTGCTAATTGGCAGCGGGGACCGGGATGCAGGCACCGCAGCGGGGGGGCTGCGTGCTGGGAGCCCCCCCCCTCGTCCCCTCGTGCCCCCCGGCTTCAGGCTCGGCCCAGCTGAACCCAAACGCTGCAGGCAGCGGGGCTGCCCTCAGCATCCCGGCCGTGCCAGTCCCTGTCACTTGGCCAAACGGCGAGGATTTAGCTTTATTTATTTCTTTTTTTCTCTTTTTTTTCCCTCTTTAATCCTCTGCTCAATCCCTGCCCTCCCCCAGCCCCGCAGGGCACGGCACCCTGCCCCAAACCCCACTGATGCGCACAGGGGGTCCTCTTGGGGCCAGCATCCTTCTCATGGGGGGGGCATGGGGTCACAGCCTCCTAACGCATCGCTTTTTGGGGTGATGCAGGACCCCCGCCCAACACTCAGGGTGCTGTTTCCATGCCAGGCAGGAGGGGTCCGCACTGAGCCCCCCCTTCCCATCCCATTCCCGGCCCCATCCTGGAAACCTCCCTTATGGTGCCACCACCCCAAGCAGCCCCCACCACGCCAGCACCCCCCCAGCTGCTGCCCGCAATCCCCTTAGGGAGCCCCCCACGGTAACGGGGGCTGGGGGGGGATGTGAGGACCCACACACCTGTGGGGACACCCCCACGGGGACACCCACCACGGGGCCGGTCCCCAAACCTGGTTATTAGGGGGCGAAGGGGGGGACCCCCGCTTTGGCCAGGCAAACGGGAAGGTTTCCCTTCCCAAGCAGGGGCTGTTAGTGCCGGGTTAATGGGTATAGGATATAGGCACCAAGTTTTTGGGGTCGGACCCCCCCGGTGCTGGCGCAGGGCCCCGGGGAAGCGCTGGGGGCTGGCCGCCCGCCCCGGGCGCTGCCTTTGCATGCCGAGCACGCGAGCGCCGGCCCTAAAAGCCTTTTGACATTGGATAAAGCCAAGCAAGAAAATTGATGTTCTTTTCCATCCTATTAGCGGGGGCTTAGTTCCAGCCAGGAGAAAATGGTGATTAAAAGGGTCAGGGCTCCAACGGCTCGGGCGTTCACCCAGGGGGGGGGGCAACGGCACGGGTGGTGGGATGGAGGGACCGAGATCAGGTTTGGGATGCGAGGGGTACGAGGAGGATTTTGGGGGGATGGAGATGGGTCTGTGGGGCCGAACCTAACCACGCGTCCCCCCTGCTGACCCCATCCCGCTGCTTTCTCCCCGCAGGTGAGCCGGGTGCTGCGCCCGGGGGGGCGCTTCCTCTCCATCACCTTCGCCCAGCCCCATTTCCGCGCCCCCCACTACGCGCAGGAGGCCTTCGGCTGGTCCCTGCGGCACGCCGCCTGCGGGGACACCGCCTGCGGGGACGCCTTCCACTACTTCCTCTACGTCATGTGCAAGGGGCAGCCCCTGACCCCCTCCCAGCTGGCCCTGGGGGAACGGCTCTGGCACCCCCCGCCGCCCCCCAGCCCGCCGCCCCCCCTGGATGAGGAGGAGGACGAGGACTATCTGCTCGCCATTGAGCTGTGACCTGCCGGGGCGTGCACCCCCCCTGCCACCTCCGTGCCTTGCTCGGATGGATTTATGGGGTGGGAGGGATAAAGGGGGCTTCTCCTCGTCCTCCTGGGGGGCTCCTCGAGCTGGGGGGGGGTTCCCTGAGGAAGAAGGGGGGGAGCAGGGCAAAAATCCCTTCCCCTCCCCAACATCTCCCCGTGCTCTGCTCCTCTGGAGAGCAGCCAGGGCTCGGGGCTTTGCGGCCGGTAATGAAACCGAAGCGGGTTTAATTCCAGGCAGCCGTCCCGGGGGGGCAGCCCCTGGGTCTCCCCCCTTGAGCTGGGACAGGGGGACACCCCCGCGGAGGGGCGGCGGCGCAAGATTTACCGGGTGCCAGGCTGCTATTCCCGGCGAGGGCCCTAACTGGGTCACCGTGCCCCCGTCCCCAAGGACTCCAGGGTCAGACCCCAAAACCGGCGACCCCAAATCCCAGAGGGGGTGGTGGTGGTGAAGGAGGGGGGGGGGGGGGAGAAGGAGCAGGCGGTGCCGGGCTGGCGTCGGTACATGGATGTATTTTATTCATCGCATTTTGTTCACCAGTACAGTGAAAAATGGCATTTCAATTTACAATGGATCATCCGTAGAACATCATGACACAAGGATCTTTTTTCTTCTTTTTTTTGTGTTTTTTCTTTTTTTTTTCTTGTTTTCTTGTTGTTTTTTTTTTTCTTTTTTTTTTTTGCGTTGTTGTCTCCGTAAATGCCACTCGTAGGTTATTGTAAAAGATGACGAGTTTTCTCATGCACACCAAGACCCCCCCCCGAGAAGCTTCTTAAAAAATAAAATTAAATTAAAGTACAAAATTAAAAACGACAACTCAGGAACGGGCCCCTTCCCTCCCCGCTCCCCCCCCCCCCGAAGCCCCAGGCCCCCCCCCAAAAAATCCTCCCGAGGGAGGCAGCGACGGATGCGGGCGCCCCGGCTGGGGGGGCGATGGATGGATGGCGCGTGCGGACCCCACCGACGTTCCCCAAGTCCTGCTGCCGGCGGGGGGGGGGGCCGTGGGTTTTTCCTCTCTTTTCTCTTCACCTTCCCCCCCCCTTTTCTTTTTCCTTTTTTTTCTTTTTTTTAAATCGGTTTTCTTATGGAAAAAAATATGAACCATTTGCTTTTATTTCCCGCCCCCCCCCTCCCGATGCGCTACTTCGACACCTCGCCGTCAGCGGCTCGTTTTGCGTTTTTTTTTTTAACAAAGATTCGGATATAAAAATACAAATATGAGGAAAGTTTTCTCTTTTTGTGTGTGTGTGTGTGTGTTTTTTTTCTTTTTTTTTTCTCTCTTAAAAAGAAGCTGTTTGCCGGAGTGGGGGTGACCCTTTCGGCACCAAGACGCGGCGCCCGGGGGGGCCACCGAAGCTCATGCAAAAAACGATGGAGCAAAAAATGGCACCGGGGGCGGCTTCGAGCCCGCTCCGGCCCCGCTCAGCTCCGTGCCCCCCCCCCCATCACCACCACCACGGTGTTAGGGTTTTAGTTGTTTTTTTTTTTTGGAGGGGGGGTCCCTCGCTGAAAGGGGGAGGGGTAAAGTGCATGGCCCGGGGGGGCGCGACCCCGAAGCCGGTGGGAGCGTATGGAAGGGGTGGGGGGGTCCGAGAAGGGGGTTTGCCCCCCGTCTCTCCCCGCCTGCTGCACCCCCAAATGGGGCCATGTGCTGAGGGGGGGGGGGGGGGCCGCGGGTATGGCCTCCCACCGCCCCCCCCCTTTCTCTTTCCTCCTCTGTGCCCCCCCCCGGGCCCGGGGGTCCTGGCGGCGGCTCTCCGGGTTTATACCCCCGACGGCGACTTCTCCGTCATGCCCTTGAGCACCTCGTCTATCCGGTCATCCTCGATCACCACTGCGGGGACACGCGGGGGGGGGACGCGGGTGGGTGCGGGGACATGCTGGGGGGGGGCAGCACCCGGCCCTTCCTCCCTTATCCCCCCCCTCCTCCTCCTCCTCTCCCTGCATAGGGTCTGGATGCGCCCCCCTATCCCTTACCGCCATCCCCAAGGGGTTTGGGGGGGGGGGAATGGGATGATGGGGGGGAGAAGGCAGGGGGTCCCCCCCCTTTTCCTGTGGCTGTGGGTGGATGGCGTGGGCGGGGGGGGGCAGGAAGGGACCCCCCCTCCGCGCTGCGGCAGGAGCTGCTGCGAGCAACAGGACTGGAATGGGTAATGACCCAGCGGGGGGGGCACCGCCGGGCCCCCAGCGGCACCAGCAGCTGCTGGATGCCCCCCCCCACCTCCTGCAGGCAGCATCGGCACGGGGGGGGCTGGACAGACCCCCCCAGAGCACTGCCGGATAGACAGACCCCCCCACAGCATCTCCCCAGAGCCCCCCCCCATCATTATCACCACCGTGGGGGGGCTACGCAGCATCCCCCCCCCCCCAACATCACCAGGGCAGGACCCCCCCACAACAACATCTCCACCTGGGGGGGGGATATAGGGTCAGCAGCCCCCCCAGCAGCCCCTTGGGGGGTGGATTGGCCGGACCCCCCCCACCGCCAGCATCAGTGGGGCAGCAGCCAGACCCCCCCCATGCCCACGGGGGGGGAATTTGCCCCCCAAATCTCCTCCGGGGGGGGGGGGGAACAGCCCCCCCCCATACCCTGCGGGGGGGCCGCTGGTCCCATCCATCAGCACCGCAAAGGGGGGCGGGGAGCCCCTCAGCACTGGGGTGTCTCTGGGTGTCCCCCCCCCCCAGATTTTGCCCCTGCAGCTCAAGAAGGGATTGGGGGGGGTCCCCGTGGGGCCCCCCCAGCGGGTGCGGGGGGGCTGCGGGGCTGGCAGGGGCTGCGCTCGGGGTTCCCCAAGGCACGGGGGCGAGGGGTGGCGGTGACACATCTTTGGGGGGGGGGGGGCGTTTATTTGGGTCCCGATTGAGGCTGATGGGGTCTCTGCGGCAAGCAGCAAAGCGGGGGGGGGGCACACAGCACACGGCAGCTTCATGGAGTCCGGGGGGGGGGGGCAGCGGTGCTGCCGGTGGGGGTCTCTGCGGCAGGAGGGGATGGGGGGGTGCTTATGGGGATGGGGGGGGGTCTATAGGGCTGGGGGGGGTCTATAGGGTTGAGGGGGGTCTGTAGGGCTGGGGGGGGTCCTATAGGGCTGGGGGGGGTCTGGGGTGTGCAGCAAGCCCAGGGGTGCTGAGGAGCAACTCCGGGGGGGGGGACCGGGGGTAGCCCCGTGGGTTGCGGGTGATGGGGGGGGGGCAGCTCGGGGGGTCGGGGGGGGGGTCCTGGGGATGCTGGAGGGGGGGGGATAAGGGGGGGGGGGTGGAAGTGGGGATGCCGTGGGGCAGAGCCGGGGGTCCATAGGGATTTGGGGGGGGGTGGGGGGGGTGACACCCGAAAAGGGGGATTTGTGGGGGGGGGGATTTGGGGTGGGGGGGGGTACCTCTTTTGGCGCGGCCGATCTGTCCCAGCTTGGGGGGCCGCTTGCCCTGGTTGCCCCCGAAGAAGGCGTTGGTGTCCTGCAGGCGGCAGCTGAAGGGCAGCTCCCCCGCCTCGGGCTCGGCGCCGTAGCGCCCCACCTTGTCCTCGCCGTAGGGCAGCACCTGCGACATGGCCGGGCCTCAACGGGGCCGGGCCGGGCCGTGCCGTGCCGTGCCCGGCCGGGAGCAGCCAGTCTGAGGCGGCACCGGCGGCACCGGGCACCCACAGCGGCGGCAGGAGGAGGAGGAGGAGGAGGAGGAGGAGGAGGAGGAGGCTGAGGGGGGGGAACGGGGGGGGGCTGGAGGCGAGGCGGGCGGAAGGATGAAGTCATGCATCCGGGGGGGAGAGGAGAGGGGGGAGCGGGGACCCCCCCACCCCGCCGGGGGCGGCTCCGAGCACGGCCGGGGGGAGCGGAGGGGCGCCCCCCCCCTCCTCTCCCTCCCCGTTGGGTCCCCGTCCCCCGTGGTGTCCCCAAACCCCGTGGTTGTCACCCTGACAGCCCTTTGGGACCCCCCCACACCCCGTTGCTGCTCGCCCCCCCCCGGTTTTGGGGTGTCCCCCATCCCCGTTTTGGAGTGCTCGGCCCCCCTGCAGTCTCCTCGCCCCCCCCCCATTATGGGTTGCTGCCTGCAGATGGGGGCGCGCAGGTGGATTTAGGGGGGCTGCGGCACCCCAGGGTGGTCCTGCCCCGTGGTGACCCCAAATGGGTCTGCCCCATGGCTTGGCTGCACCCCCCCCCTGAGGGATTTTGGGGGGGGCTATAGAAGGGAGGTGACCCCCATGGGGCAGCCAGCCATGATTCAGCCCCAAAAGTCCCCCCCCCCCAAACCTCAATTGCACCAAATTGGCCGTGAGCAGCCCCACCTGGGCACCCCCCCCAGGCACCTGGGGGTATTTAAGGCCAGACTGGGGGCTGCTGGTCCCTGGGGGGGGGGGGGTTTGGGCAGTGCTGCTCGGCCCCAGGATGGGGCTCAACCCCATTTGGGAGGATGAGGAAGGTGCAAATGTGGCCCTACAGCTCCCAGCCCTACAAGCAGCACCCCTGGGTGTCTCTAGGGGCCGAGAGCGGGGTTTTCGCAGAGACCACGGCCCGTTTCCCCCCGCCACCACCTCCCTATTTTGTGTTTTGGGATCTGGGCTGAAGGATGCAGCAGGAGAGCATCGGCTGGAGGGGCAGGTAGGGTTATTTTGGGAAGGTTTGGCCGCGCCGTTCCCTTTGTGCCGGGCTCCCCTCCGAGAGCGGGGACGGAGGAACGGGGCAGCCGTGCCCCCCTCCCCACCAGCCGGGCGCTGCTTTTGTTCCTGCTTTAGCCGGGGAAGCAGCTTGAACTTTTTCATGTGATGGATTCTGGAAAAAATAAAACAAAAAAAAAAGAGTGCCTGGGAAAATAGGCGAGAGGCCCACGCTGAGATGTGCCCTGCTTTTCCCACCACCAGGCCCACGTGCACGGACCGGCGAGTTGTGGGGTTGGGGAGAGCTTGGTGAGGTGGGGATGGGCTGTGTGGGATTGGAGGGGGCTGGTGCTGTGCACAGAGTGGGTCCTGGTCCCGCTGGGAGCACCCTGCTTGGCCCCAAAAGCGTGCGCAGAGCAGTGGCTTTGGGTTTGGGGTGTTTGGTGAGCGAGCATGGGGCTCCTGGGGGCTGGGGGAGAGGGAGATTTGTCCTGTCCTGGGCCCTAAATGTGGGCTGCAGCTCCTGAGTGAAGGCTGGGGCATCTCATGGATCTCATGGGGCTGGGGGTGCTGAATCCCACTCCTGGGGCTGTTTTAGGGCCAGGCTCCCAAATGTGATGGGGATGGCACTGCTGGAGTGGCCACGGGCTGCCCATGCAAAGACCGGCGTGTGTTGGGGCGCAGCGTGCCAGGGGTGCTGCCATCCCGTGTGGGGATGCCAAAAGGGGCAGGAACAGCCCCAAAATGGCCCCAAAACGGCTTCTTGGGGCACGTCTCAGGACGAGCAGCCTGCACCAAGAGAGGTGCCCAGCGGGGGAAGGGGCTGCGTTGGCAGGGTTGGTGCCCTGGGGACGGCCCAGGAGGCTGCTCCCCAAAACCAGGAGGCGACGGCTTCCCCCACGGCCCTTGGTGACCCCGGGGTGGGGATTTTTGGGGTGCGGGGAGCCGGCGGTGGCACGGAGGCGTGCCTGGAGGCTGTGTGGCGGTGCCTCCATCTGCTCCGCTCCCGGCCCTGCCAAGAAACGTGAAATGGCACCGCTGCTGGCGCCTGCCGCAGCCCCGGGGCCGCGCACGCCGAGTGCCAGCTCCCTGCTGCCACCGGCACCCGGGGGTGTCCCCACCGGGGGGGGGGGGCTGCCGGAGGTCACCTGGGGGGCTTGGGACATCAGGAGGTGCCTCCAGCTCTCTGGTAGCCGAGGGGTAGGGGTTGGCGGGCTGTTTGTCCCCAAATTTGGGGGAGCGGATGTGGTGGTGGGGGCACTTGTGGTGCTGGGGAGCCTGGGGGGTGGTGAAGGGCTCGGGGCAGTGAGATGAGGAAAAAGGGCCCCCCCCGGTGGGCTCCCACCCCAAATCCCCCACTGGGGTGGGTGGAAAAGGGACAGCACCAACCCCATCCCCCCCCATGAGCCACCTGGGGCCGAGGTCTTGGTGATGCGGGGGGGGGGCCTGGGGCTGGGCTTCACCCCAAAAACCCTTCATCCCCGCGTGGCCCCGAGCCGGGGGGAGCCCGGCGGTGGCGAGCAGCCCTGCAGGGTGCCGAGGCTCCATCGCCGTCTGCCACCACGTCCCATCACCATGACAACAGACAGGGATGCAGGGGGGGGGCCTGCTGGCAGCCCTGGGGGGGGCACAGAGTGGGCGGTGGGCACAGGTGGGTGCCCGTAGGGCTGTGGTTGGTGTGGGGGTGCCAGCTGGGTCCCCACGGGCCCTATATATCACGGGGAGGTGGCTCAGCACCGCTGTCCTGCCCCAGTGTCCCCGGGGAGGTGGGGGGGACGTGTCACAGCCCCCCCGGGGGGTGGGGGCACTGCGGCAGCCGTCTGTGGGTGCAGGGGCGCCTGGTGCCAGCAGCTCTTGGCACGCGGGGAGCGCCTTCCTGGCAGCCCGGCCCGCTGCCATCTGGTATTTATCTCCTTCCCCAAATCCCTCCTGCTGCGGGGGGATGCCCAGGCTGCGTGGGGGGGGGGGTCCCGCTCCCCACTGCTCACTCTGCAGCAGCCCTGCTGCTGGGGGGGGTGGGTGACCCCTGGTCCCACCCCAAAAATGCCCACAGAGGGCTTTGGGGGCACCACCGCTCTGCGCCCAGCCCCAAAACGAGGGGGCTGGTGCTGTGGGGAGGGGGCGCAGCACCCCCTAAAGCTGGTGTCTGGCTGCCGGTGCTGCCCCCACCCCAAATTCTGGGCATCCCAAAGCTGCTGGAGCCCGGAGAGCCCACGGGTTGCCTGGGCAACTGCGGGCAGGATGGGGAGGTGCAGGGCAGCGGTTGGCATGGAGACGGGGAGAGCCGTTGCCTTGGTGATGGCACCCATCCATCCCGCACCCAAGGGTGCTGGGGGGGCCCTGCCCTCCGCCCAGCAGGGCCCGGGGGGGTGCAGGGGGTGTTAGCGGCGCGAAGGAAGACAGGAGGCTGAGCTGGGCGTTATCAGGGATCGGCCTGGCTGTTATCAGTCAGTGGGCAACTGCGAGGTGTTCCTACAGCTGGGTACCGGGGGGGGGGGGTTTGTGGGGTTGGGTGGGTGCTGGAGGCACGGGCAGGGTGCCCCTGTGTCCCTCCTGGGTGCCAGAGCAGCTGGTGAAGGGGGGGCCTGTCCCCAAGCAGCTTGCTTATGGGGTGCAGGCACGAGGTAGGGGGTGCTGGCACCCAGGTTTGGCACGGTGCTGGCTCTGGGGGGGTTCTGCCCGGCTCCTGCCCCCCCCAGCTGTGCCCTGCTGGCTGTAGGATCTCCCCCCGGCCCCGTTGTTGCCCCGCAGACAAAGCTATGCACTGAAAAAGCAACACAAGGGGGGGAAAAAAGCCACATGCCTTCTGGAGGGGGGGGTCAGGGCTCAGAAACAGGCCCGGAGGGTGCAGGGGACTCCTCACAGCAGGCACCAGGAGCAGGCTGCCCCCACGCGCTCACGTTAAGGGGGTTCCTTTGGCAGACAGACAGGATGGGGGGGCTGTGGGATCCCTTAGAACAGAGAGGGGCACACGAGGACCCTTCCCCAGCAGGAACCACGCAGCCGCGTGCTGCTGGACCCCCGAGGCTCCCCCAGGCTCGGGGCTGGGCTGGGTTGGCACCGCCCCTCCCTGCCCATCCCACCCCCACCCCAAAAAGCGCCCTCAGGCCTGGTAGAGGGGCACCACGCGGTCGATGGGCCCCCGGCAGATGGGGCAGAGGCGGGTGGGCAAGGCCTGGAAGCAGCGGAAGCAGCAGCAGATGTGGCCGCAGCCCAGCAGGACGCACTCGCGGGGCCGGCTGAGGCAGACCACGCACGAGTCCTCCAGCCCCCCTTCGGCCTCGGGCTCCTCCTCGCCCTCGGGCTCCTTGTCCTCCTCGGGCTCCCGCTTCAGGCGAGCGTGGCGGAGGGCCCGGCACGCGGCGTGGAGGAGCACGGCCAGCCCCAGCGCCGCGCACAGCGCCGCCGCCCCCTTCCAGAAGCCGCTGGCCGCCTCCAGCTCGGCCAGCACCGCCTGCCAGTCCCCCAGGCACAAGAAATACTCGCCCTCGCGGGCCGGCGGCTGGAGGTGCAGCGAGCCGTCGGGGTGCAGGGCCAGCTCCCCGATGCCCGTCAGCGCCGCCCCCACCCGCAGCATCTCCTCGGTCTCCAGGATGCCTTTGGGCTTCTCCCCGCTCAGGTAGTGGCCCAGCAGGTCGCGGAAACCGTGGGCCGGCTGCTGGAAGCGCTCGTACACCGTCTCCAGGGGCAGGCGGACGGCTCGCAGCGGGCTCTCCACGCTCACCTGCGTCGCCACCTCCGCGTCGGGCGAGGCCAGCAGGAAGGGGACGGTGTAGACCTGCTCCGACAGCACCCGCTCGCTCTCCGTCCTGCAAGCAGAGAGCACGGGGGTGAGATGGGGGCGGGCGTGAAGGAGCCCTGAGGTTCTGGGGTTGCACCCAGGGGTCTTGGGGTGGCCCCAGAGGGTGAGGACCCCCCCCGCACCCCTTGAAGCCCTTCCCCACCGCTCACCAGCTCCGTGCCAGGCTGTTCCACACCAGCCGGTGCTCCTTGAGCAGCAGCTTCTGGATGACGCCCTGCATCCCGCCGTGGTACTGGCTGCTCAGCGCCGCCTTGGCGGGCAGCACGACGCCTGGGGACGAGGGGACGGGGGTGGGGGTTGAGGCCACATGGGGGGCACCCCCTGCGTGCCCTGACCCCCCCCCAATCCCCCCTCCCCACCACCCCCTTACCTTCCAGAGCCACATAGGGCAGGCAGCTCCCCGGGGCTGCGGACACCAGCGCCGGTAACTCCTCACCCACCGGCAGCTTGGGGGCCTCCTGGAGGGGCAGGGAGGGGGGGGGGTCACCGGGCTGCCCCCGGTAGGCCCCAATAGGGCTGGGTGAGGGGTGTGGGGGGGGTGCACACACACAGGCCGCGGGTACCTGTACGCGCGCTGCCACAGCGGCCTTCCTCCGGTACAGGTAGTAGCACAGCCCCGACAGCGCCAGGCTGGAGCCCAGGCACAGCAGCTCCACGGGGGTCACCGGCTCCATGGGGCGCGGCGGGGCTGGGGTCGGGCCTAGCGCCCGGTGCCCCCCCACAGCACCCCCGGGGCCGGCCGGTAGCGCCTAGGCCCTGTCCGCTGCTGGTGGTGGTGGTGGCGGCGCCGCCGCGGGGCCTGCTGGGAAATGTAGTGCGCAGCCCGCAGCGCGGCGCTGGGGGAGGCGAGGTGAGGAACTACAACTCCCAGCGTGCCTCGCGCCGCGGGGAGGCCCGCAGGACTACAACTCCCAGCGGGCTTTGCGGCCCGGTGCCGGTTACCGGGGGGGGGCCCGGGTAGACCTGGAGGCCCGAGGTCGGGCCGTGCCCCCCCCACACCCCCCTCCCGGTGTCCGTGTCTCCATATCCCGATGTTCACACCCGTGTCCCGGTGCCCCGTGCCCCAAACTTCACACCCCGGTGCCCGTAGCCCCCGTTCACCCCCTCCCGGTCCCTCCGTCCCCCCCCCGGTGCCGCCACGAAGCAGGCGGAGGCGGCTGGGTGGAAGCTGCTTTAATCGTCCCGTGAAGCCAGCGGCGGGCACCGGGCTCCCCCCGCCGCCCCCCAGCCCCAGCAAGCGGGCACCGGGCTGCGGGAGGAGGAATTAGGGGTGTATGGGGGGGGGCGAGGGGCAGACACCGGCACCGGGCACCCCCCCGGGCTCACACCGGCAGCTGGGGGGGGGGGCTCGGCTCCGGTGCCCCCCCCCCATGGGGTCGTGGCATGAGCGGGGCTGGCGTGGGGGCACCGCGGCCTCCCCGCCACCCCGCCACATCCCATCCCCGGGCACCGGAGGGGAGCCAAGGGGGGGGCATGGGGAGTGGTGTGAGCATGGCGGGGGGCTCCCGGTGGGCACCCGGTGAGGGTGCGGGGGTACGGAGGGTACAGCCAGGCCTGGTGCCCCCCCCCCCCGTCCCCATGGGGGCCATCCCGGTGGCTACCACACCTCGCAGTGCCGGCCGGGGTTCATGGGGGAGCCCAGGGGGCAGCCGAAATGTTCCACGAAATCCCGGGAGTTGCTGAGGGTGCCGATCACCCGGTACTTGTCGGGGCTGTGCGGGTCGGTCACCAGCCCCTCGTGGGAGCTCTCGGGCGTCCGCACCGAGCACCACACCTGGAACGGGTGTGGGGGGGATCACAGAATCACAGAATTTCTAGGTTGGAAGAGACCTCAAGATCATCGAGTCCAACCTGGGGTTGGGAGGGGAAGGCACGGCACTGGTACCTGGGCGAAACCCACGAAGAAAAGCTGGTGGTTGGTGAGCCCCAGGGCCGGCAGCCGCTTCTCATCCCCGTTCTTCTGCAGCCACGACTTGTACGCCTGCGGGGGAGACACCGTGAAGCCCCCCGCACACCCAAAAAGACGAGGTCTCCGAAAACCCCGACCCACGTTGTAGGCCGCCTTCAGCCCGCCGTTGTCGGCGATGTTCTCGCCCAGCGTCTGGCGGCCGTTGACCTTCTCGCGGTGCACGGTGTAGCGGCCGTACTGCTCCGTCATGCAGGCCGTGCGGTTCTTGAAGGCCTCCAGCGAGGAGTTCTGCCACCAGGGCCGCAGGTTGCCCTCCTTGTCGTACTCGCGGCCTGCGGGACCGAGCCATGGGAGGGGTGCTGACCCCCCCTTCCCCGCGGAGCCCACCCCGCGGGGTCCCCAAACCGGGCACCGTGGGGGCACCCGGGGGACTTTAGGGGACCTGGAGCACCCTGGGGAGAAGGTGTCCCCCCCCAGCTCCTGCTCCAGGTGGTCTCTGTCCCGTGTTTTTGTCCCCCCCCCCGGTGTCCCCGTGACCCCAAATTCCCCCGTTTTCCCCCCCAGCTCAACCCCCGCTGGCTCCGGTGAGAGGCGCAAAGCAGAGCGGGGATGTGAGCGGGCCCCAAAAAGGAGGAAGATGGAGGAGGAGGAGGAGGAGGAGGAGGCAGGCCGCAGGGGGGGCCCGAGCTGCGGCCACCGTGTCCTCACCAAGCGGATGGAGCGAAAGCTGCACAGAGAAGCCGGGGGGAGGAATCGGCGGGTGCCACCTGGGGAGACAGGACATAGAAGGGGAAGCCAGCCAGCCGGGGGGGGCGGTGAGGGTGGCCGCGGCCACGAGCACGCACGATGCGATGGATGGCGAAGCAACTCCCCCCCCCCCCCCGGCACTGGGGGAGCTCGGGGGGGGGAAAGGGAAGGCGATGAGGGGTGCCCGCGGGCTCTCACCTTGGTCGTCGAAGGCGTGGGTCAGCTCGTGCCCCATCACCACGCCGATGCCGCCGAAATTCAGGGCTCTGCGGGGCCGCGGGGCACAGCCGGGTGAGCACAGCGGGGTCACGGCATCGCCCCCTCCCCATTCTGGGCACCCCGGATCGGGATCGCCCCCCTGCATCCCCTCCCGGCCCCGTTCCCGGCTCACTTGGGGTGGCTGCGGGCGTAGAAGGGAGCCTGCAGGATGCCGGCGGGGAAGACGATGCCGTTTTTGGTGGGCAGGTAGTAGGCATTGACGGTCTGCGGGGTCATGCTCCACCTGCGGGGCAGGGACGGGGATGGGTCACCTCTCCCCTCCTCTCCCCGTGTCCCTCCAGTGCCTCCCAGAGCCCCCTCCAGTCCCTTACTGGTCCCGGTTGGGGGGCTTGCGCAGCTGGTCGGCCATCACCTTGGCGGAGAAGTTGTAGAAGTTGAGCATGTTCTGGAAGAAGGAGTCCTCGGACACCTCGTACTGGGGGGGGAGAGGCTGGCTGAGGACGTGTCCAGCGTCACAGGGTGCTGCTGGGTGCCCAGGTGGCTCCGTTTGGTGCCCTGTCCCCCCCCCACATTGTCCCAGCAGGGGTCCTGCAGGGCTTGGAGCCCCCTACCCCATCGTAGACATCATCCAGCTCCTTGTTGTCCAGGATGAAGTCCGGGAAGCCGATCATGTCGTAGATGGCATCCGCCTGCGTGGGGAGAGGTCCTGGGGGTGAGATGGGGCCAGAAAATACCTGGGGGGGGGTCTCCCCACCACCCCCACCCCCCGGGGGCACCTTCTCTTTCGCTGCCTGCCGCGTTGTCTCATCCATCCAGTCAAGTTGGTCCAGGGACCCCTCGAAAGCTGTCCGGATCTCGCTGATCATCTCCTCAGCCTGGGGACGGGGGGGGGACACGCACCCTGTCCACCCCCTGCCGTGACACCCTGTGCCCCCCCACGCCACCCCCTGCTGCCCATCATATAGGGGTGGCTCAGGCAGGAGGTGACCACAGGGTGACCCCCTAACCCCGACCCCGGGGGTCCCATTTCACTGTCACCGGGCTCTGGGGGGGGGAACTGGGGGTGACGGGGGGGGTGATGGGGGGGGAATTGTCCTCACGATGGCCTTGCTGTCCCGGTCGAAGGTGGCTTTGACGAAGAGGGAGCCCAGGGCGAAGCCCAGCGTGTCGTCCGTGTTGGAGATGCAGGTCTGCCAGCGGGGCGTGCAGGACTGCGGGGGGGGGGGGAGACCGGAGCCCCTGAGACCCCCGGGGCAGCCCCAGCCCCCTCCCCTGCTCCCTCCCTGCCCCCCAGGCTGTGGGGAATCCCCCAGCAGCGCCCCCCCCCCATCCCAAAAACCAGTCCCCAAATCCTCCTGCAGCCTCCGGGGCTCAGCACCCCAAGGGCACCCCAAGGGCAGAGGCGCTCTGGCTGCCCCCGCGCTGCTGTGGGTTGGGGGGGGTGGTCCCGGAGCCCCCCCCTGTTACCTTCCTGGTGCCGTAGAGCGTCTCCAGCAGCCTCTCCTGGGCCGTCTCGAAGCGCTGGTCCAGGCTGGAGGCCGTTTTCTGCACCAGGTTCCAGATCAGGTAGTTGTTCAGGACGCTGCGGGGGCAGAGGGGTCGGCACGGGGCTGGGAGGGGGGGCGGTGCCTGGTGCCCCCCCTCCGAGGGTTCAGCCCTGGGGGTCTCACCTCTTGTCGGTGCTGTTGATGAGCTCGGAGACCTGCTGGAGGTAGGCGTCCCCGTACACCACCACGGGCTCCGTCTCAGCCAGCTCCAGCGGGGCCAGGGAGTAGGAGAGGTAATCCAGCCAGTCGATGGCGGGGGCGAGCACCTGGGGGACACGGGGATGTGGCCCCCCCAGCACTTGGCACAGCTCCGCACCCCCCTTCCCCGCTATCCCCACCTCCCTCAGCACCCCAAATCCCTGCCCTGCCCCAAAAGCTCCTTCCCCGTGACTCCCCACCACCCCCGGGGCTGCAGGACCAGGAGGGGACCCGGAGAGGTCCCCAAAGTTTTTTTTTTGTTTGTTTTTTTTCCCCAGCCTTGCCCACCTGCAGCTCGGCGATGCTCATCTTGTGGTAGATCTTCTCGTCGTCCCGCCGCTCGGCTTGGGGCACGGTGATGTTGGCCAGCAGGGTCTCGAAGTCCAGCACCTGCTGCATCTGCAGCCGGGTGGGCTCCTTGGCCCCCCCCAGCAGCGTGCCCAGCTCCACCATGTAGTCCAGGTAGGCGGCCAGCACCTGGCGGGACCCCAGCAGCCGGCTCAGTCCCATCCGTGGGACGCCCCCACCCATGGGTCCAGGCCTGGCCCCCCCACGGCACCAGCTCCCGGGGGGGCTCTCGCCCCTCTCACCCGCTCGTTGGCCGTCCTGTTCAGGTAGTAGTCCCGGGAGGGGAGGAAAAGCCCCGACTGGTCCACCTGGGGAGGGCGCAGAGGGGTGATACGGGCAGCCCGCTGCCCCCCGGTGCCCCCCCCGGTGCCCGCAGCCCCTCGTGCCCACCTGGATGACGTTGCTGTTGGAGCTCTTGGAGTCCGCCCCCACGTACACGGTGAAGAAGGGGGTCGCCCGGTAGGTGCCCGACACCACCTTCAGCACCTCCATGAAGCCGCTCTGGTTCCACGAGCCGCTGACGTTCCAGCCGCCGATCTGCCCGCGGAGCAGCCCCCGGGGGGGCATCCGTCACCCAGCTGGGGGGGTGACGGCATGGGATAGGAACATTTTGACCCCCCCCGGTGGTCCCTGTGCCTCCCACCTTGTCGATGAGCTCCACCAGGGGCTGTGCGCCCAGCTCCTCGATGCGCTGCTCCTTGAGGCAGGACAGGTAGTAGCGCTGCGTCTTCCTCTCCGCCTCGCTGCTCGAGTTGAAGCTGGCGTTTTCTGCACGAGGGGGGAGGACCGCGGCTCAGCCCTGGGCGCGTGCGGGGGGGAAATTCCGCACCCAAGGGTGTCCCCACCTCGGTGGTGTCCCCACCGCTGCCCCCCACCTAGGAGGTGCTTCATGATGGCCTGGTTCTGGTCCCAGATGCTGTTGAAGGTGCTCCACTTGGAGCGCCCGGTGGGCAGGGGGTTCCTCCTGATCCAGCCCCCGCAGGAGTACTGGTAAAAGTCCTGGCACGGGTCGGTGGCCGGGTCCAGAGCCTCCAGGATCTTGCTGGCCACGCGCACGCAGGCGTCGGTCAGGCAGGTGCTGCGGGAGGGGTCTGGGGGGGGGGACGGCAGAGCCGTGCGCCGGGGGGAAACCGGGGGCGCACCGCGGTGCCGAGCCCCGACCGCCCCCTGGGGTGGGCGCAGCGCCCCGGGGACGCGGCCGTGCCCCCGATCCCGCTGTCCTCGGGGCCACGGGGGGGTCACAACACGCTGCCCCTACCTCTGCTGTACTGCACGGCCAGCGCGACCACGGCGGCGCCCAGCAGCAGGGCCAGGGTGACGGCGATGGCACCGAGCGCCAGCTCCAGCTGGCTGCGTGACGCCAAGCGGCTCAGCAGCGGCCCCGGCCCCTTCCGAAATCCCACCTGGGTAGGAGGCAGGGGCTGGCATCGCATCTGTGCCCCCCCCGCAAAGCACGGGGACAGCACCGGGACCCCCTGGAAGGGGTCACCCCACAGCTGGGGCATCCCCTGGGGGGGGTCGCGGTGCCACCCCATGAAGCTGCAGGGAAGGAATTGGCCCCAGTGCGCTCCCTGCAGCATTTTGGCTGTGTCCCTGCCCCCCCCCCCCCCAAAGGCTGCGGGCAGGTTGGGGCTGTAGGAAGCATTGGGGGGGGGTCCAGGAGGGGATTTGGGGATTTTTGGGGGGGGTCCGGGCTCACCTCCACGCTGTCGGGGGAGGCGCTGCCATCCCCTGTGGGCTCCGGCGCCTCGTCCTCCTGCAGCGTGGCACGCTTGTAGTCGGGCATCTGCCGGGGCACACAGCGGGCTGGGGGGGGGCGCAAATTGGGGGGGGGGGGCGGCTGAGCCCCCCCCTCACCCTCCCCAGCTCTCACAGCGGGGCTGGTGCCCGCTCGGGGGGCTCATAGGGAGGCTGGGGTCTTCCTCAGAGGCTGTCCCCCCCCCGGAGCCCCTGGGAGGGTGAGGCTGGGTGCTGGGGGGGGGGACACGGGGGGGACATTTTGGGGGGGGGGCTTGGAGCATCCCTCCCCGTCGCCATGGCAGCCGCGGCATCAGACGTGGTCCTCGTCACCAGGCAACCGCTGGCTCTGCTCTGCCCCTCCCCCTTCCTCAGCCCCCCCCCACCCCAAAGAGCCTGGAACTTTCCATGCAGATGTGCAGGGGGGGGACACAGCTGGGGGCACCCCCCCGGGACCCCAACCCAGCCCCCGCTGTGCTTGGGGCAAAGGGAAGAAACCGGGGCAGGGTGGGTGGTGTTTTTTGGGGGGGGGGCTTTATGGGGAGGGGAGGGCAGAAAGAAGCCGGGGGGGGCCGGGACCCCCTGCATCAGGCCTGGGGGGGCTGCCCAGGACCCATTTTTGGGGGGGGGGGCGCGGGGCTGAGCCGGGGGTGCGGTGGGAGGGCACCGCGGTGCCGTCAGTAGGCTTCAGAGTTAACGCCCCGTGGGTTATCTGGGGGGGGGGGCAGCCCCCCAGGGACCCCAACCCATCCCCTTGTCACCACTGCCCCCCCCCAGCACCTCAATTTGGGGTCACCCCCCCCAGCCCCCCCACCCCGGGGCTGGCTTTGGGGGCGCCCCCACCCCCCGGTGGGCTCCGTGCCCCGGTGGAACGGGGCGGGGGGGGGCACCCAGGACCCCCTGCCCGACCCCAAGCTTTGTGGGGGGTCCCCTCGTCCCCCCCTTGTCCCCCCCCATCCCCGCCACCACGGGGAGGGGCTGCGCAGCCCCCGCATCCCCCCGTATCCCCCCGCAGCCCCCCCATCTCCCGGGGCTGCCCCGCACCGGCTCCCTCCCGGTTTTGTTTTGTCGCCCCCCCCCCCCCCGGTTTTGTCGCCCCCCACTCACGGCGTGGCCGAGCTCCTGCAGGGCCACGTTCATCCTGGCCATCCCGGGCCGCCTCCCGCCTAGCTCCGGGCCCCCGCAGCGCCGCCTGCCTCCGCCATGGGGGCACCGGCACCGGCACCGGGAACGGCACCGGGACCGGGAATGGGACCGGGTACCGGGATGGATGGGTGGATGGATGGATGGGTGGGTGGATGGATGGAGCCCCCCCGGTGTACGGGGGTTGCGGGTACCGGCGGGGCGCCGCCCGTAGGCACCGGGAGGTTGGGGGTGGTCGGTGCCGGTGGTACCGGAGGGGATGGAAACGGGGGTCCCGGGGGCTCAGCCCCGCTCTGAGCGCTCCGCTCCGCTCCTCCCCGCCCGGCCCCGGCGCCAAGGTGACCGCGGGGGGGCCGCGCCCGCCGTGCGCACGGGCGGAGCCGCGGCACCGGGAGCCGGTACCGGCACCGGGAGCGGGCACCGGGACCTGACACTGACACCGGGACCTGGCACTGACACCGGGGTTGGCACCGGCACCGGGACTGACACCGGCCCCGGACCCGGGCCCCGTCCGCGGGCTGCCAGGCGGGCACCGCACGCCCCGGTTCCCGGTACCGGGAGCCACAAACGGCTGCGGGTGGCCGCCAGCAGCGCCCCGCTGGGCTCCCGGCCGCCCTGCACGGCCCTGACCTCCCCGTTCCCCCCCCGGCCCCGTTCACCCCCCCCGCTCCCGGTTCCCCCCCCCCCCCCCCCGGTGCCGGTGCCGGTGCCGGTGCCCGCGGGGGGCGTGGCCTCGGCGCTAAGCCCCGCCCCTCCCCTTAGCCCCGCCCACTCCCCGCCCCTGGCCACGCCCACCTCCCTCCGCCCCCTCCGTCGCGCGGCGGTGACGTCAGGGCGGCGGCGCGCGCTGATTGGCTGCGGGCGCTGCGCAGGCGCAGTTGTGGCCGGTGCGCGGCGGAGGCGGCGGCGGAGCGGCGGGGCCATGGACGCGGGAGGCGGCGGGGGGCAGAGCCGGGTGCAGGGAGGGCCCGGCTCGGGAGGCGACGAGAAACCGGCCCCGCCGTGGGGCAGGGAGAAACGCGAGCAGCCGGCGGGGCCCGAGAAGGAGCAGGAGCTGGTGAGGGGCCGCGCTGAGTCACGGCCGCACCGGATGAGGGGGGCGTGACGTCAATTCGGGGGGAGTGACGTCACCGGGAGGGGGTGACGTCATCAGGAGGTGGTGACGTCACCAAGGGGGTGATGGCGGCACCGAGGGGGGTGATGGGGACTCACCTGGGGGCTCCCTGCGGTGGGTGAGGGGGGTGTGACGTCATTTGGGGGCTCCCCGCGTGACGTCACGGGGGTGACGTCATGGGGGTGACGTCACGGGGTGCCCCCCCACACCGTACACGCAGCCCTCACCCCTCTGCCCCCCCCCCCCCCCCCCCCGCAGTCGGAGGAGGACAAGCAGCTGCAGGATGAGCTGGAGATGCTGGTGGAGCGCCTTGGGGTGAGTGCCCGGCCCCAAAACAGAGGGGTCTGACCCCAAATCTGACCCCAAAACAGCGGGATCTGACCCCAAAACCGACCCCAAAACAGCGGGATCTGACCCCAAAACCGACCCCAAAACAGCGGGATCCGACCCCAAAACGGCAGGGTCTGACCCCAAAACAGCGGGATCTGACCCCAAAACTGGCCCCAAACCACCCCCCTGACGGCTGCTCCCCCCCCCAGGAGAAGGACACGTCCCTGTACCGCCCTGCCCTGGAGGAGCTGCGGCGGCAGATCCGCTCCTCCACCACCTCCATGACGTCCGTCCCCAAGCCCCTCAAGTTCCTGCGGCCGCACTACGGCAAGCTGAAGGAGATCTACGAGGGCATGGCGCCGGGCGAGAACAAGGTGAGCCGCGCCCCCCCCGCCACCCGCCGGGGCACTGCCTTTGCCCCCGGCGTGCTCCCGGGCCACCCTCGCGTCCAGGGGGTGTGAAGATTTCGGCACTGTCTCCGTCTCCCCGCAGCGCTTCGCAGCAGACATCATTTCTGTGCTGGCCATGACCATGAGCGGTGAGCGCGAGTGCCTGAAGTACCGCCTGGTGGGCTCCCAGGAGGAGCTGGCGTCGTGGGGGCACGAATACGTCAGGTAGGGCTGGTTGGGAGCAGGACCTGGGAAGGACAGAGGGCTGGGGGGGAGATTTCTCTAGGATTTCCTCACCTCCAGCCCCTGCAGGAACATGAAGCCCCTATAAATAGTGTCTGGGCTGAGCTGGTTCGTGGTGCTGACCTCTCTTTCTCCCCGCAGGCACCTAGCGGGGGAGGTGGCCAAGGAGTGGCAGGAGATCGACGAGGCGGACAAGGCGCAGCGGGACACGCTCCTCACCCTGGTGAAGGAGATCGTGCCCTACAACATGGCTCACAACGCCGAGCACGAGGCCTGCGACCTGCTGATGGAGATCGAGCAGATGGACATGCTGGAGAAGTACATCGACGACAACGCCTACTCCAAAGTGTGCCTCTACCTCACCAGGTGAGGGGACGGCGTGGGTCCCGGTGGGCGTGGGACCTGATGGGTGCTCACCCTGGTGTTCATCTCCTCCTCCAAGCTGTGTGAGCTACGTCCCAGAGCCTGAGAACTCTGCCCTCCTGCGCTGCGCCTTGGGCATCTTCCGCAAGTTCAGCCGCTACCCCGAAGCCCTGCGCCTGGCCCTGATGCTCAACGACGTGGAGCTGGTGGAGGACATCTTCACCTCCTGCAAGGACGTGTAAGCGGAGATTCCCTCCCTGCTTTCTGGGACTTTAGCATGGAGTGGTGGGGGTGCAGCCCCTATTATACAGATCTGGGTTGGATTCTGCCTCTGCTGGACGTATCTGTGGGCTTTTGTCCCTAAAGTCAACGTGGGCAGGAGCAAATCATCTCTGGGTGCTCTCGTGTGCCCCCAGAGGAGGGTGATTTGCTCAGCGTGTGTTTGTGCCGGGGTCTGGGCGCCTGCAAAGCCTCTCCCCTCCGTGCAGGGTTGTCCAGAAGCAGATGGCCTTCATGCTGGGCCGCCACGGGGTCTTCCTGGAGCTGAACGAGGACGTGGAGGAGTACGAGGACCTGACGGAGATCATGTCCAACGTGCAGCTCAACAGCAACTTCCTGGCCTTGGCCAGAGAGGTGAGCGGCTGGCTGGGAAACAGCCCAGGGGCTGCCCCAAGCTGGGATCCTCTCTGGCTGCCCTGAAATCTCTGTCCCCACGAGGCCAGGCAGCACCTGGAGCGGCTGCCCTTGCCCAGCAGCCTCCTGTGGCATGTGGGTGAGGAGATAACCACCTCTCCCTTGTCTCTGCAGCTGGATATCATGGAGCCCAAGGTGCCGGATGATATTTACAAAACCCACCTGGAAAATAACCGTAAGGGCTCGTGTCGCGGCCTCGCTTGGCCCTGGCTTTGGGAAGTTGCTGGGGGTCCTGGGGCGGGCAGGCAGCCCGCTGGGGACCTCTGGGGACCCCCGGCCCTGCATGGAGCAGGCTCTGCTGCCCGCTGTGGGCTTGGGCACTTCTTTCCCCATGGGAGGGGACAGATCTTTGCCCGTGTGGTGTGGGACAGTGTGGCTGGGTGCCCTGCTTGCTGCCTGCCTCATCCTGACGTCACTCCGCAGGGTTCGGGGGCAGCGGCTCCCAGGTGGACTCAGCCCGGATGAATTTGGCCTCCTCCTTTGTGAACGGCTTCGTGAACGCTGCCTTCGGACAAGACAAGCTGCTGACAGACGACGGCAATAAATGGTTGTACAAGAACAAGGACCACGGTGAGACAGGGGCTGGAGCTGCCCTGAGAGCCCCGGGGTGGTGACCCTGGCCCTTTTGGGGACCTGCTGAAGCGGGGCCGTTGAGCACAGCTCCCCCAGGGCCGCCTCCTGCCCAGGCAGGGCGCATCACCGGGGGCTGACGTGGGCTTTTCTCCCCTGGCCCCCAGGGATGCTGAGTGCCGCAGCCTCGCTGGGCACCATACTGCTGTGGGACGTGGACGGGGGGCTCACACAGATCGACAAGTACCTGTATTCCTCAGAGGATTACATCAAGGTGAGTGCTGCTGACCCCAGCCCGAGTTTTTTGGCCCTGTGGGGTGGGCTGTGTGTGTGCGCGGCTTCCTCTGGAGGGGCTGGATGCATCCCAGGCCTTGGAGCAGCTCACAGCCAGGTTGCGGAGCTCTAGGAACTCCCTGGAGCATTTTTGGGGTCCTTTTCTCGCAGAGCTGTGGGTTCAGGGCTGCTGAGCTGGCTCCAGCGTGGCGTTGCTCGCTTGGTACCATCCTGGGGGGAGGGTGAGACCCGTGGGGTGACGTTGGTCACTGCCTGGCAGTGAGCTCCGTGCGTTGGTGGCTGCTGTGTGACGGCGCCTCTGCCTTGCAGTCGGGAGCCCTCCTGGCCTGTGGCATCGTCAACTCAGGGGTCAGGAACGAGTGCGACCCGGCCCTGGCCCTCCTGTCCGACTACGTCCTCCACAACAGCAACACCATGCGCATCGGGGCCATTTTCGGGTAAGGGAAATGCCCCCAGCCCCCCCGGCTGTCCTGTGCTCCCCCCACTAACTCTTCTCCGGGCTCTCCGCAGCCTGGGGCTGGCCTACGCGGGCTCCAACCGCGAGGACGTCCTCACCTTGCTGCTGCCTGTGATGGGAGACTCCAAGTCCAGCATGGAGGTAGGGAGCGAAGCCGGGGGTGGGTGCGTGGGGTCCCGCAGCCCTGCCCGGTCCCCGACAGCTCCTGGGGGTGCCAGGGCTGTCCCGCAGCCCCTTTGGGCTCTGTGTGTTCCTTCCTGGCACTGTGCTGTGCCAAATCGTGACCGTGTTTTCCCCTTCTGAGCCACTCGTGGGATGTGGGAGGCTGGGAAGCCGCCAGGTCTCCGAGATTCCGAATTTCTGGAGGGACCCAGAAGCGTTCTGTGCCCTCCCTGAGCGCGCAGCCTCTCCTCCTCTCCTCCAGGTGGCTGGCGTGACCGCCCTGGCCTGCGGGATGATATCCGTGGGCTCCTGCAATGGGGACGTCACCTCCACCATCCTCCAGACCATCATGGAGAAATCGGAGACGGAGCTGAAGGACACCTACGCCCGCTGGCTGCCGCTGGGCCTGGGCCTGAACCACCTGGGTAAGGGAGGGGCAGCGCCGGCCGCCCCCGGGGCTGGGGTCTGGGAGCTCGAGCACCCCTCAGCCACAGGGCTCTCACCCCACACTGCCCCACAGGGAAAGGAGAAGCGATCGAGGCCATCCTGGCGGCGCTGGAGGTGGTGTCCGAGCCCTTCCGCAGCTTCGCCAACACCCTGGTGGACATCTGTGCCTACGCAGGTGAGTGGGGCTCCCAGGGGAACGAGGTTTGAGCCCTCCACCCGCTGATCCTGGCCCTGCTGCTCTCCCCCCCCAGGCTCGGGGAACGTCCTGAAGGTGCAGCAGCTCCTGCACATCTGCAGCGAGCACTTTGACTCCAAGGAGAAGGAGGAGGACAAGGACAAGAAGGACAAGAAAGAGAAGGAGAAGAAAGAGAGCTCGGCCGACATGGGGGCGCACCAGGTGGGGGGAGGCGCGGGGGCTGCCTCCGAGGGGTTCCCGGGCTCTTTGTGGGATTGGAGCTGAGGGAAGGCAGCTCCCCGCTGGCTGCCCTGCTCCCCGTGTCCAGCTGGGCTTTGGGGGGGCTGTAGGAACCTGGCTTTGGGGTTGGGTGCTCCCTGCACTCAGCACTCGTGTCCCCACAGGGCGTAGCGGTGTTGGGCATCGCGCTCATCGCCATGGGCGAGGAAATCGGCGC